TTTTCAGGACCCCACCTTGATGTTTCGGGACCCCACGTTGGGTCCCGACCCCAACTTTGGGAAACACTGGTTTAGACAATGCTATAAAAGTTGGCTGCCGTTGGTTTTATGTTGGATTATTAAAGGAGACGTTTGTTTATGTGGATTTTCTAGGTCAGGGGAGCTCCTCCTGTTCTGAAACAGGTTTTTTTTAAAGCTATGAAGTACTTTACTTAGGTCAGGACAATTAATTAACACCACATTCAATTATTATTGCTTCTCTAGCAAAAGCTGACCTAGTTCAAAAGGACCATCAAATTGTGATTGAAGTTAAGAGGGTTTACCAAAAATCCTAAGAAATCGCAGTTGTTTCGTGACAACAGACCCTTTAAGACTTTGTCATCACACAGCAGCTTTTTGGCCTGTTTCATTTTTCTCAAATGATTTTTAAACATAAATATCTGGTGTTGGTTTTGGATTTGGTAGTAGTTTATCCAAACTCCTGTTATTTTGTCCTTCTACATTTCATCTATTACTTTGCCATTTGACTAGGTTTATGTCAGGGTTTCTCATGGTACTAAAGTTTGGCTCCCAAACTTGTTAATTACTATTTTTTTTAACAAATAAGTCATTGATAATGTGAGCAATTCCAAAAAGCAATAACAAGTGTGGCATTTTGATTGAGGAAAAAGACCAAAACAATAATGACGTCGAGGGAAGACTTGTCTTCAGGAGGTAAAAGTTACTGCGAGAAACTGTAAACAGACTTTACTTCAGGGTTCAAACCACTGGGAAAACTTGAGAAACTCGATTAGACTTTTCCTAAAACGTTCAAATAACTTTTTTTTCCTGCAGAACGAGATAAAAACCAGCAGCAACCACATCATCTGTTACTCAGGGCGAAGGCAGAGTTACAGCAGCGCATGTGTTCGGCTGCGACTGAAACTGGGTCACTGCTGCTTATCGACGAGTCCTTCTTCTGCTCATAGAAGCAGAATTTTAAAGTGTAAAAAGCTCCGGTTTACGCTCTGTTCAAACTCAGGCCAAACCCGGCAGAACGAACAAAGCATCGCATAGACGGAGAAATAACCCACACAGCTAAAGGGCTTCTCAAGGCAGGGTAATGATTTGTTCTTAAAAGTCTGAGCTCGTCATCAGATTGTCACTTATCTGAGACAAATTAGCAGCAACAGAAAAAAACAAAAAACAARACATGACAACACTCCTCAAGCATTTGGTTTCAGGTGTCAAATAAATAAAAAATGATTTAGGTTAAAACACTTCAATAATCTTCTTGTAACTGTCCAGTCACATGCCTGTGAAAGCAGCTCAGAGTAGTTCAGATCGAAGTGAGGTTCTGTGGAGTAGTTCTGAATCTTTAATATCTTACCTGTTGTAGATAAATCCTGGAGGAATAAGAGCTTAAATTTGACCAGACTCGCGAGCTAATGGCTAGTCTGAGGGCTCTAATCTGTTTTTACTTTTACTAACACGTAAATTCCAAAGACAGTGTTGTTTAGTCAGCAGGATACTCGCATTTCTGAGGTTTTCATGACTTTCCTCTGTTCTCGCAGGACTTCTTGTTGCTTCAGTGGAACCGAGGAGGTGTTGGGCGACGTGTCCCTGCTAGATTTTTCTAAAACAAAAGTTCCAACAAGGCCAGGACGRATGGGCCTGTCAAGACTTCAGAAAGGGCCTGTTTGGGAGAAGGAGTGACTATGGACAATCTTTCTGACTTCGGCGGGCCGTGTTCGTCCACCCGCAGGGAATGGGAGTGAGTATCAAAACAATTTAATCTCATTTTGTGGTTGTAAATTGATTTATTCTCTATTTGTACTACTGAATACTTCCTGAGTGTAGTGTGTAATATAATTTAGCAATGATATAAACCTTTTCCCTCTTCTATATTAGTCACATTCATTAATGAAATGTGGCACAAAATACAAATATTTGGACCTCCTCATTAAAAGAAATCTTATTTAATGAGTTCTATAGACATAAACCACTTTAGATAAAAATAGATCAGATCCTTCATACGCCACAATAACCTGGTAAAATCTGGAGACAACCAGGATCTTGAAGTAGGTCACCAGGTTACGCMAACACAAAAATGGCAGTAAATAGTGCTTTTTGACAAAGGTTTAAATTTATCTGAATGGACTTTTTTTCCACTCCACTTATTGAGACATGAATTTCTGCTTAGAGGGCTCTTTGTAAAAAAATGCGTTTAAACGTGTCAGTTTGGAAACTGGTGCAGCAGCAGATGGTTAAACTGCACATGTCTGCTTTGTGGATGGAGCTCTGATTTGTGTGAGCTGGTCCAGTCGGGCTGTAATGTCTGAGCTGGAAACTTGGACAAAAGCAGAGTTTCTGTTTTCTATTAACACCCGATTTGTCCTGTTAGGACACGTTGAAACGACTGTGAATAAAACTTGAAAAACAGATATCAGTGTAATATTCCAAACATTAAATGTCTCTACAACACGCCGGTCATAAAACAAATGTGAGCCATTAGCGATATTAAAGCAAAAATAAAGAGACAAAATTTCAACAATGTGTCTTTGTGTTTTTAGTACCAACAGCTGTGTGGAAGATGTAATGGATGAAGATGAGAAGGACAGGGCAAAAAGGTAAMCAATCTTCTTTTTCTAAGTGTGTGTGTCCTGATGTGAGAAACAAAGTAATGTATTTTGAAGTCTTAAAAACAAAAAAAAAACTTAAAGGTCCAAAATTACAAGAAACCTTTGAGACAAATGTAACACCTGGAAAACACAAAAGTCATTAAGTCAAATAATCTGCAGAGGAAAGTGAACTTTATTCACCTTAAGGACTGAAATTAAACCAAGCCAAAGACAATTTTCTGTGACGTTTTAAGGACAGATGAAGAGACATTTCTTAGGYTTGTACTTCATGTACTGGGCTGCACTGGATCACTAAAGACCCGGCTCTTAAACTTGTGGATATCACGGTCGTGGTGGAGTAAATTTTGCCAATTTCTTCTCTATTATATTACCACTATACAACCACCAACTACCATTATACAAGTATATAGTTTGTCATTAAAATGTGAAATTCATTGCTGTATAATCATAAAGAGAGACTTTCACGTTCTATAATTTGTGTTTAAAAAACCTGCACTCTCGTTTAATAAATACAATTAATGTTTCTGCTGTCAATTCTCATTAAGATAATTTTGGCTGTGTTCAAAAGCCAAAGACCAATACTCTAGGGGAAGCACTGCTTTTATTAACAAAAACAAAAGGCATCATGGCCTCAAACTTACAACTCGCAGAAACACAAAGACAACCAGGACATCAGGATGGAACATAGACAATGACCTGCTGGTGGCAGGAGACCGGGWGTATAGAGCAGAGGTAACGAGGTATTGGAAACAGCTGACCTAATTGGAGACTGGGAACAGGTGAGGGGGGCTGAATGACAGCGTACAGAGGAAGCTGACTGAGGATGAACTGAGGATTGGCACAGGAAACACAGAGAAGCTGACACAAGAATACAAAACAATAAAACACTCAGAAGATCTGAAAATGAATCATAACATTAACCAAAATACAAGGATCATAACGGTTAATACTCAGGTATCTACAGTTTGAACTATATTCACCTAACCTCCTTCCACAGCTGATTTTTAGCACATGAACTAGAGTGAAAATGTCTCAAATATTAAAAATACCAATTTTAATTGTGAATTATYGCTAGCTTTTGATGCAAAAGTCAAAACTTGTGCTTGCTGTTTTCTGTTGCCTGTCTGTACGACTTTGAGTAAATACTGAAAGACTTATTACTTTTACATTTGCTGTAGTTTCTCAACCTTTTAACACATCATCTGCTGAATAATAAATGTGCCACCTATTTTCATATTCCTCTGAAAAAGACAAAAACACACTTATTTTTTTTATTTAGCATTTATACTTGAGATTATTTTGGCCTCTGTGTGAGACCATCTGTTATTTGTAGTAGTTTTTCTTATTTTTTATTATACTGCCTGAGTTACTTGCTCCAGGAAATAAATCTACTTTTACTAATATAGTGTGTTTTTGTAAATAAATATTCCTTTCTTTTTTATTAAAATAAAAAAACTTTTACAAGTACCTCTAAAATCAGGGCTGTCGAATTTGGTCCAAATGAATTTGTTATAAATGTAGAATCATGTAGAAAGTTTATTTTCTTCAGTGTGTTGCTTTAACTTGCTTTTTCGATGATTTACGCTTAATCGTATTCACTTGGCAAAAAGCATTAATAAACTAGAGGACTGGACGTTTGTATAAACACACCGCCAATCTAATATGCATTTTCTTCTCGCTGTAGGGCATCCCGTAACAAATCAGAAAAGAAAAGAAGAGACCAGTTCAATGTTCTCATCAAGGAGCTCTGCACCATGCTGCAGGGCCAAGGCCACCCGCGCAAGATGGATAAATCCACCATATTGCAAAGGACTATTGATTTTTTACAGAAACAGAAAGGTAGGGAGATGTTTCTCTGCCTTTGCACACCATCTAATTTTAGTTCGAACATGTTGGGTTTAGTTGCAGTCGTTACTTCGTCTTGATTGTGACGGTTAATTTCAACATTAAATTTGTTTTAGACATCACYGCGCAGAATGAAATCTGTGACGTGAAGCAGGACTGGAAGCCTTCGTTCCTCAGTAATGAGGAGTTCACTCAGCTAATGCTGGAGGTAAAGCTCAATACAATGTCTTCCTGCAGCTTTCATTAGAAATACTAATAAAACATTGTTAAAGGTGAAATTAAGTGTTTTGATGCTAACTTAACCAAATGAAAGTCATAAAAGTGTTTAGAGAATCGCATTTTAAAGAAACAACACTTATTTTAAATCAGTCATAAAGGATCGAAACAATTACTCGTGTCTCTTCTGCGTTTTCCTTGATCCCTCCGAAGTGTTACATGATCTGTGCCCAACAAAAGATTGTGAACAAACAAGTGAACATCTAGCCTGCAGGTGAAATGGTTCAGTGTGCAGCAGTTAAATGTGAAAACCGACCTGAAACTACAACAGGTGTTTCATTTTTCCCCTTCCAAGAGACAAGCGAGGTCAACTGATTTGGTAACTTAAGCTCCGGCGTGAAAACAACAACCCAGAGTCGGGTGTCGGGCCGTGCTGCGAACATTTTAAAGAAAAGAATCTGAAGTACAAGGCAAGAACTTTTGTCAGGAGCCGTCCTCAAAAACAGATATCGAGGTCGTCACCTGGTTTTCTTAGGGACAAACAAATGACACTTGARTAACAAATTAAAATGAAAATAAAACTGATAGAGTAATAGAATAGAACTGATAAGCAATGCGACCATAACCACATTTTATTTATTGTCCTGCATAGTCCTGTTACAATAGACGCTTCCCCCTCTATGGTATTTTGATGCAAAAAYGGTAAAAAAAAACATATAAATCAGCAAAACTGGCATCCAGAGTATTTTATTTAAGCGTGTAACTAGAAATAAGAACATAAATATAAAACTCTTTAACTGCATAGACTTTCATGAAAACACATCATACATTTTAAGTGTCGAAACAAAATAAACACCTTTAATGTTCTTCTGAGTGCATTTCTCCAACAAGGATGTATTTTTTCCTTTTTATAGCAGTTAAAATGTTTTCCAAGTGCCTCACATTTTTCTGACAGAAGAATTAACTTGACGTTGTTGAATTGGTCTTTTTACAGGCTTTGGATGGTTTCCTGGTTGCTTTAACAACAGATGGAAACATTATATACGTATCTGACAGTGTGTCGTCACTTATCGGCCATTTACCGGTAAGTTAGGAAATCTTATGTCAACTAATACTTTCCTATTCACATCGTTGTGGCTATTATAGATTAGTTTTATGGTAACAAAAGTTATTGACCAAGTGTGGTTTTTTTTTCTGACCTGTGAAAGATTTTAAAGGTAAAATGCTTATTATTTCTGGTCAAATATTTAACCTGATCTGATCCCGGAAAGGCATTTATTTTTATTCCTATAGTAGCAGCTACTGTATGGGTGTTAAATCACTGAAATAATTTAAATATTTTCCATACTGATGATTGTTGAACTGCATTTTTTACTTCTCACAAGAACTAGTTTGAAGTTTAGCAGGTACAGAATGACATGAATCTTGTTCAGAATTCATCAGGATTAAATAATACAATCATTTTTTTAGTTGTTCATCAGGAAATAAGTTCTTAAAGTTGTTAAATCACATAATGTGTCAGTTTATTTGTTACATCATTATGTTGCATTTCTCCAGAATGAGCTGCTCTCAGTTCATCAGTCAACAAACAGCAGAAACACAGCTTTCAAGGAAATGATTAAAGACACTCCTTTTGATACAGTAAAAAGCTCTAAATTAAAAAACTAATTAATATTTTCTTAACAGTTTTTGTGAAATTTGAAGCACAGTCACCGTACTGTTTGTACTTTACAATAATCTGCCTGCTGTAAATAAGACTGCAAATAAATTACACCGACAACAGAGAACAAGCTGTCCCATTATAATCCCTCAGAAACTAAAACATTTATCCAGTCATGGCGYTTCAGAGCCTGACTGACACACATCTGTCTTGTCGTACCAGTCAGATATGGTGGACCAAAACATCTTGAATTTCCTCCCCGAGCCAGAACACGGGGAGGTGTATAAGCTGCTATCATCCCACATGCTGATGACTGACCCCATTGCTGCTGACTTCCTTGACAGTGAGTATCCTGCTGAGCGGCATCCCTACACACACACACACACACACAAACACACACACACACACACACATGCTCTTTGTCTGGGTCACTGTGTTGAAGCACAGCACAAACAGAAAGTTTAAAATACGGATTTGTGTTTTTCCCTTAATGAAATCAAAACTAATTGTTGAAATCATTTCTTGCTTATAGTTATTATTACTTTTTTCTGTTTGTTGTTGAGTCTGCTGAAACACACACACAAAAAAAMRYGCATAACTCTTTGTGTCCACGCAGTTTGTCCTTACCTAACTCCGTATATTTAGAGGAAGTGGCTCCTTTAAGGTCTGCATTTATTGGATTGCTGATTAGTGCGTTTCTATGATTAGACTTTTAGCTAATAATAGGAGCAAGCTTAGTATCATTGTTAAGACTTTTAATCACGGTTATGTTAACACAGTAATCCAAAGCAGTGCRGCAGGGGAGGCCAAAGACGCTGACCTTAATCCTGTGTTTCTGTTGGACATTTCTGGGGAATAAAGGGGATGAGTCACCGCAGTCTCAGGCGGCCGTTAGAGGCATTGATAGTCGTCACAAAAACCTCGTATGGAGCAGTCATCATCTTGGTTGGACATCCATCTGTGTGAACAGCTCCTAACTGTAGCAGAACGTCTTCTTTTYTTTCCAGTATTTATCTCCTTTGGCYGAACACAGATAAAAGACATCTTTAGGAGGACAACTGAGGCCTGTCCTCGTTTAGGTTCGCTGGGTTTTTCTGTGGGGTTCTGGTTTTCTCGAGGTCACTGTGCTGCATTAGTGAAAACTTCTTTCATCTTTCTCTGGAGCTAAAAGTGCTCTTTTATAAACAGATAAACCRTAGTTCTCTAAATGGATTAAAAAAATGTTTGGACTGTGAGACAGAGGAGGATGACTTGCTGTGGTGACCTCTGAAAAGAGAGGACTGCTGTGCAAAATYTGTTTCTGAAAAGATTGATAGGTTGGTGTGAAATTATTAATTATTTTTGACAATTTCCTTGAAAARTGGCTTTTAATGAGATTGTTTTTGTGTTTATCTGTTATTAAAATAACTCATGAACCACTGGATGAGGTTTAATAAAACTCTCAAAGTAATCTTAGGATCATTTTGGAGTTGACCCGATTCATTATGGCCGCTAAAGCTAGTTAACCTTAGCAAACACAAAAATATCTGTATCTCGGACCGTTTTACAGATATTGAGCTAGAATTTGGTGCGATTATGGCTGAGATTAATACTCTGACCCTTGTTGCAACATCTTTGTTTCAAACTTTGGCATTATCTGTGAAATCAACACAGTTGGTCTGTTAGCAAAATTTCTCATGAGTCTTTGGACCTATTTACTGAAACYCTCAGTAAGTCATTACTGGGTGTATTTCTACACCACAGCTTATCCACCACAAAAAATGTCTGTAACTCAGGTAATTCTACAAATATTGAGAGATAATTTGATAAATGAGGGCTAACACTTTGAACACAACACGTTAGGAGACCTTGGAATATTGCACGAGATTGTACAAAATGTAATTTTGTAAGGTTTGTCCAAAATGAAATCATTTTTCATTTTTTATTTGAAACTCTGACAAGAAAGGTGGTGGGCGCTTTTAATCTCCATCATTAACATTGTAAAAATCCTAAAARTCCAATATTAAAATACAACCCATTAACAGACGTTTATCTCATATATATGTTAATGTATTAAGTAATTTTTAAAGAATGTAACCATGAAAATATATATTTTTTGCATAGGTGAGGCTCATACTGAGTTTTGCTGTCATCTCGCCAGAGGTAACATGAACCCAAACGAGCCCCCTGTTTACGAGTACGTTAAGTTTGTTGGAGATTTCAAGTTTCATAACAATGGTAAGGTTTTTGTTACCTTTTAGATAAAAATGCAAAAGCTTGAGTCTTCAAACCGCACATAAATAAATGTTCTCCCTCGTCTGACAGTGCCTACATCTTCTTGCAACGGGCTCGAACTGACGCTGCCGAGAAACTTGCAGTCATCGCTGGAGGAGCAGGTCTGCCTCATCGCCACCGTACGATTAGTCACTCCACAGTTTCTGAAGGTAGGAGCGGGTCGATTTTTTTATAAAAAAGGTTTTTATTTGTTTTGCTGTTATTACTCCCAGAAAGCTAAAACATCTGCATCAGACTGCGTGACGTCATTGAAATTGAGTCAGCGGCACAAAAGGAATGTCTAACAGATGATTTGTTTTCCTCAAAGTGAAATCGACGTTTGAGGGTTTTATTTTGTAGCACATCTCGTCATATTGTAACATCAATGTGACGATTTGTTTAATGTCTCCAGGTGTAAAAACGTTGTTACACCAGCTTCTGTCAAATGTAACATCAACAATAACTCTGTTTTTGTCCTTTCATCTGATTCTCAGACTCAGAATGAATCCTCTTTTACAAATCTGAGTTCAGTTTTCTGTTTCTGAACTCTTATCGTTCCCCCTTTATTTGCTTTTCTCCAGAATAACAGCGTCTAAGGTCACATCTTCTGAGAACCGTTCAGAACATTCAGTCTGTGTGTGATTGTGTGTCTTAGTGAGAACAAAACTGCAAGGACGTGTTGTCAAAAACATGGYGCTGAAGCAGAGCGCCGCCCTTTCTGTGATGTCACAAATCTGAGCTTTAGCCCTGCCAAACAGCATAGAAAATGTATAATCGTAACGTATTTGTTAAGAAGAAAAAACACTTAAAAGCCCAGATAAAAAAAATCTTGCTGTGCCATTACAGTACAGCTTGAGTGAATCTGTTTTTTCTGTTTGTGTTCTGATTCAGGATTTGTGTAACGTAGAAGATCCGTGTGATGAGTTCACCTCCAGACACAGCCTCGAATGGAAGTTCTTGTTTTTAGATCACAGGTATGAAATTAATGTAGTTTCAATAATCGTTAGTGTTCACTTCAAAAAGAAAGAAAAAAGCTGTTTATGATAATGTGTTCTGTTTTAGAGCCTCACCCATCATTGGTTATTTACCCTTCGAGGTTCTCGGGACTTCTGGCTATGATTACTATCATGTGGATGACTTGGAGCTCATTGCTCAGTGTCACAAGCAACGTAAGAAATCTTCCTTTATCACCTCTCCATCCAGAAATCCATCTCTGGCAGGAGGAAACTGTAGTTAGAGAAGAAATGTGTGATTTCTGATCTGTGTTTTTCTTTTCTCTGTCCTCAGTAATGCAGTTTGGAAAAGGTAAATCCTGTTATTATCGCTTCCTGACCAAAGGGCAGCAGTGGATTTGGCTTCAGACTCACTACTACATCACCTACCACCAGTGGAACTCTAAACCTGAGTTCATTGTCTGTACACACACTGTTGTCAGGTAAGAATGATTGTTCTCCTGTTTTCTCTATTAAGTATGTAACGATACATGGTACTGGACCATTACAGGAGTTTTTTGCTCAATCTTTTTGCAACGTCTGCTCTAGTCTGCACTACTTAATACTAGAGGTGTAACAATACATCCATCCACATCGATATATCAATTAAATAATCAATGATTCAATTATATCAGGGCAAAATGAAAAAAAAATCGATCCAATATCATCTTCATATTCACACCTAAAACGATCATTTAGTTTAGTTGGTTAGTTGTTAGATGTGCATATACTGCATCATATTGATCACAGACTTGTGAATTCAATTGAAATCATATTGTGACAGACTTTGTGATATTGAGAAATATTGTATCGCCATCCAGACAAATCAATAAATTATTGTATCGCGATAAATTTGGTGATTTATACCCTACCTAACAACGATCTGTTAGTGTGTGAGGGGCACAATCAAACATGCTTCTGGAGCTGAATTGGGATGCAGCCAGGTGGTGTGAGCCGACCCAACAGTTGCCAGCAGCCGTTGAATAAAAAAGGGGGGTGGTACACAGGAAGTGGTGTCAGAGGAGCAGATAGATGGCAGCTGTGAGCCGATCGTCGTCTGTTTGTTTACCCTTCAAACTGTCACCCTGCGCTCTGTTGGCTTTAGTGTGAAGTTAAGTTTTTAATCCCTCATCAGGTGCAGTGTGATCCATAAAAAGATCTGCTGAAACCTGTAAAGACTCTGAAAGTTGTCCGGTGTTTCCTCAGATYTTGTCACAGAAGCTCACAACTCTTATCTTGAAGAGGATGCATGTTTTTGAATAGCTTTTTGCTGCCTGCCACAACAGAATACCATCTAAATCTCTGTCTGCTACAGCAAATTAATTCAAAGGAAACACAGGTCTTGCCTGTTTAACATCAGCTGTGAACGTTTCCCAGTTACCTACAGGAGCAATGGAGTGATGGGTGGATGTATGGAAAGCCACAAGGGTCATAATTTGAGATCTTTGGAATGTCTTCTGACGTATCTTAAATGCTTAATCTTTTTAATCTTGTCACCAGGTGTTAAATAAGCACCACACTTTTATGAACACTAGCACTCAGCTACTTGTAATGCCAGGTGTGTTTGTTCAGGATTTATTTTTTATTTCCACACTGGCACACTTCAGTTCTGTAATTAGTTTATATTTTGCATCAAGTTTAGGTGRAATKAACTGGAACACTTTTATTTTTGTRCTATTTTCTTAACAAGAGAAATAYCTTTCAGTTTTAAAATTTATGTTTTTTTGGCCTGAAGGACAGATTATATTTTAAAAAGCTGGGTTTCAGTCATGGGGTTTTAGAGATTTCAAATGAAAGTAAAATATTTATGAGAGGAAACCGTTGTTGAGTCTGTATTGCGCAGATTTAGATCCAGTTTCAAGACAAAGATACCAGCAATTGGTTCACAAATAYGTCATGTGTGACAAGTATCTCATGAGTTTTTAACAGCACCTAAAGATTTTGTGACARTCGAGGCTGTCGGTACCACAAACTCTGGTCCTTTGAACATCTTACAGCAGATGGAAGCCTAGAAAAGTCTGGACACGTATAACTTTTGTCTGMAAGTGGGTCCACGACTTCAGTACTAAACAACTCCACGGTTATAGTTTGGTCTTCACCACGGGGGGTGTTTGTTCTAGTATTGTTTTATAGGGTGCTAGCGGTGACGGCTAATGTTAACAAACATTCAACACCTAACGATACTAACACTGGGGAAGCCTAAAAGGTCCAGATGAAGTCAGATTACTGGTTACTTCACAATCATTATAAAGTAAAAGACAATTTTACGACAGCATAATGTTTTATGAACACGGCCACAAAAAATGTTAGCTAACATACCTGTGACGTAGGTTTAAAATACACTTTTTACAGCACTCTGAACTTTCTACATTACTCACTTTTGTTTCTGACAATCTTTGGTACTCNATTTTTTTTGGCGTACGCCATTTCCGCCTTTTGGCCGTACGTTCACTTTTAGTATGGTTTCCACGCAATCCTTTATAAATAAGACCCCAGATGAAGTCCGTATTAGATTACTGGTTACTTCACAATCATTATAAAGTAAAAGACAGTTTTACGACAGCATAATGTTTTATGAACACGGCCACAAAAAATTTAGCTAACATACCTGTGACGTAGATTTAAAATACACTTTTTACAGCACTCTGAACTTTCTACATTACTCACTTTTGTTTCTGACAATCTTTGGTACTCGATAATACCCCTTTTTCTTTTCTTGGTTAGAATGATTGGAGCTGTTGTAAAGTAAACAAAATGGTATATTTTCAGACAACAGATTCTCTGCTACCTCACTTCCTACCCTCCGTCTGTATTTCACACTCCTGTTGCTCTGCATTGTGACATCACAGGAAAGCAACCTATTAGCTGAATAACTTTGGCTCTTTGTTATTTCTAATGTGAAGTTTCCTTGTTGTGCAAGACTTAGCACCTTTCTACTAGCAGTGGAGGATTGTTTTCTGTTTGCTTCTAGGATTGTTAGTGTTTCCTTAAAATAAACTCAATTTGCTGTTCAGTTACGCTGAGGTGCGAGCTGATCGGAGGAGAGCGTTTGGTCTTGAGGAGCTGTCTCCACCTGAGATAGCCCCCTCCTCTGTGAAGGTAAGGACCAGGAGCTTTACTGCTTGTCCTCGTGTCTTCAGGTCTRTGTCCTGAACCTGTGTCCCCCACCACTACTCCCACAGGCTCAGGAGCTGTACCTGGACATCTGCTCCACTCTGAACCCCGCTCGGGACAGAAACAGCGGTGCACGTTCGGTGTCCTCCCACAGCTCCCGGAAATCCTCCCACACGGCGCTGTCGGACTCTTTGTGTGAGTCATCCTCTGCTCTCCAAACTGCCGACTCACTCCACAGCAGCTCGTTATTTGAAGAAATCCTCCTGGTGAAATGTAGCCGAAAAAGAGATTACGTTCTTCTTCGGGCGGCAGCAGACGAAGCTTTTTACGCTGCGTTTTAAATTAATTCCTGTTGAAAACCATCAATTTTTCTCCCTTTTTTTGTAGTTTGAAAAATATCCCACATTTTAATTCTTTATTTTGTAATCTTAGAAGAGTCTGTGGCTAAATGTCTGAAACAGAGCAGACTTGGCGTCTTTACAACGCCTCCCATGAATGTGTGGGTAACGATGCATCTGCGATGAAATGTTTTCCAGGCCCCTGTTAGTTTAAATCTCCATTTCTCTCTGACTTGCTGCCTTTCCACCCACCATCTAACGTGCTAAAACACCTCACTTCCATCTGCATATTTATGAAGACAACATGGCAGCAGTGGCAGATTCATTACAGGAGCTGTTAATAAAGGGCAAACAGAGCCGCACACATTAGTGCACTTTCTTCACTTTCCGAGGTACATTATTAAACCTGGCTCCATCAGAACAATGAATTGCTTTGTTTTGTGTGGGTTATAATAAGAAACGCTGAGTGAATGCATCACAGTTTGAATTGGCAAACAGTGGCCTGTGAATCAGCAGAGTTATTTAATAAAAGAGGAATAACAAAGTTTGGTTACTTTGCTAATTTAAAACTAAAGCATCATCCTCTCTGAAAACAAGAGAATAAATCCACTGATTTGTTGTCAGTTTATGTTTGGATCTGCAGTACGACGTTTCTGTGCTGGATTAAATGATTTTATGACTCCTTTAGGAATTGATAACCACACGAGCCACCACTGTTTGCCTCTGAACATTTAAAAAGTTTAATGGAGTTAACAGAATTTGATTAAAATCTGGGGGCTTACACTTTAAAGCTAAAGTGTGATCTTCAAAAGAAGACTTTGACTCAAGTTACACATTRAACAAAAAATCTGCCTCATAAAGCAGCTTCCTACGGGAAAAGTTTATTACAACTGATTACAGCTAAATGTATTAGAAAGATGATTATTTGAACATGCAGCAGCAAAGTATGCACTAAATAAGCCATTAAGAGTCAATATCTGAATAAAAAAAAAGAAAAAATATACTGTACATGAGGTTTATTTATTATTTTAACCAAGGACAATTTACAGTTTAGGAACAGAAGTTTATTTTTATTGTAGCCTTGTTATTTATCAGTCATTCCTAGTCCCTCCTTCATTAGTCGGAGCTTGTACAGCAGGTTAAATGATTGAGGTTGATCATGAAAAGCGCAGAACATTGTTATTAATAAATGTGACGCGTCTCCTCTGCAGCAGCGAACTCCTACTCCGAGGCCTGCACGCCATCATGGCAGCCTGCTTCCATCGGGCCCGAGAAGACGTCTGTCAGACTCCAGCCCACTGCTTCAAAGGTCAGTTTCTTCTTCTGGAGATAAAACGGTCTGATGACACAGTCTCATGTCAACGGCGCTGCTAAATGGTAAACTTCCCCCTATTTTTTTTTCCTCTGTAGAGTTTGCCTCAAAGACAAAATTCCTTTGACCTTGTTCCCCAAATGAGCCTCCCCCTTTCTCCAACCTGCAGCAAGCACTCCACAATGGTTAGTGTTTAGACTTCCTCTCCTGCCTGCTGTGCTCGTCTCCTCTGCTTGTGTACATGTCGTTCTGTTATGACTGCTGCTGCCAAATGTGTTCATAATGTGTTCATATCATCTGCTCAGTGTCCCTCTTAGTCTGGTTATGAGATTGTCGATAAAAAACAAGAACATAAGGAAAAGGTTAAAGATGATAAGATTATAGTTTGTTTTTGTTGTACTTTGGTTTTCTACAAACTGCTGAAGGAAATTGGCACTGAGTACTTACAGCAAGAAGGTAAAATAAAGTTTCAACTTGCTTTCTCTCTGCAGCAACAGTCCCCGCAGCAGCAGCCGCCGCCGCCGCCGCAGCCCTCCATGTATCAGCTGCAGCAGCCGCAGCTCGGTGTGATGAACCAGCTGAAGGAACAGCTGGAGGAGAGGACACGCATTCTGCAGGCTGACATTAAGACCCAGCAGCAGGAGCTGCACGACATAAAGGAGAAGCTTCATCTCGCTAATCTACAGGTAGAAGAAGAAAGATACCACTGAGTTGTTTAAAAAACGATAACAACTCTTATACATGAATAGACAAATAGACTTTTATTCTCTGGAGTGAAAAACTAGCCCAATTGTTTCTAAACATAAAATTAACAGTTGTGTTTATGTAGTAAACCTAAACCCTTCCAGAGCTGATGCTTTGTCTCCACCTAGTGTCCATTACAAGTTACTACATGTACAAAATATAGCTTTAAACAGTCAGCACAATGCCTTCATACAGTATATACAATACGTTTGTATTTATACTACATTTATATATTAATTTGGTCAATAACACACACAAAATGACTATTTCAGTCTGTAATGTAATGTTAAAAAATGAAAATAACATGAGATGATCTTAGTGTTTTAAAACCTAAACTAAAAAAATTGCTCGTTAACAAGAAACAATGTAAATCAACTGTAAAGAATGTGAATTTTTTTCTGTTTTAATATTTTTACTAATGGCGACAAATATTTTAACACATATTAACACAGTTTTTTTCCAAGTCTGTTGCTCACAGGTTTCGTACACAGAAAATATCTTGAGATTAGTTGTGATTAATTTATGATTTTAATTTATGCCCAGCACTAATTTTACCTACATAATGTTTATTTTTTAGAAGTTAATAAACGTTTTGAATGATTACCCATCTTCTGCCTCTCTGTGTGTTTTAGATGTTGTTACAGCAGCCTATCCACAGTGACTTCAGTCAGGCCCAGCAGCAGCAGCAGCAGCAGCAGCAGCAGCAGCAGGGCCCAGGAAGGCCGGCCCAGCAGAATCAGTCAGGGGTCATCAGGCAGCACTCAGGCCAGCCTAAAGCAGCAGCAGCAGCAGGCTGTGGTGCTCACAGTTCCTCCCCTCACTCTGTCCTGAGAGAAAACAGCTCACCATCAACACAGGTTTGAAGCTGCATGGGAAAAAAAAACTCAATTCTTTTGTTGCAAATTAAACCGTATTTTTCTTGTGCTCATCGTAGGTTCAGCAGAGGATCACTCTGAGCAGGCAGTCTGTGAGTTTGCCTGTGCAGACAAACACGAGCCTGACGACGCCCTTCTACAGCAACCCCATGATGTTCTCCCAGACTAACACCCGGCCCCAGCACGACCCAAACCAAAGACAAACCAACAGCCAGTTCAGCCAGGACGGACAGCTACGGTGAGAGCTCTGAACACGCTGCGTTTAAAACACCTTCATGCTAACACAACTCCATCCTGTCTCTCCTGCAGAATGCTCCTCAACCAGCCCATGCAGACACTGGTTCCTACGAGCAGCGTCACCTCGCAGACCTCCCAGTGCAACATGGGGATCTCCCAGACTCTGTACGCAGACGACACAACAACAGTGGGCGCTTCGCCTCGTCTCTCCTCTTCCCTGAGCGTCTCGTTGTTCTTACGTTACAGGTACAGCCTGGACCAGCCGCTCATCGCCCCGTCCTTCACCATGCAGCAGGTCAACTGCAACGCCGTCCTGGTGCCCTCCCCCGTCTTCACGTCTCCCATAATGATCCCGCACAACACCTTCATCACACACCAGTCCCAGTCAGCCTACCACCCTCAGCCTCAGGCCTCGCAGCACTCGGTGCAGCCACAGCAGTTCTTTCAGGTAACCCCCGCAACCGAATTCTAAACTCACCGGATCGGCATCGGTTTTGAGTGTTCACGCTCCGCTTTTGTTCTCGCAGATGACTCAAGGACTTGTTCACGGTGGATCGACTCCAGCTTTCCTTCACACCGCTAACGTCCCGCAGCAGAGCACGGTGGGGTACATCCAGCAGCAGCCACAAACACAGCAGGTGCCGCAAGCACAGCAGCAGCAACAACAACAACAACACCAACAACAACAACAACAAAGACAATATCAACATTCTCAAAACCAGACAAGCAGCGCTTCAGATTTCCAAAACATGCTGACTCGGTAGCACTGAGGACCTTTTAGGAGCTCTGAGACCTGCCTCTGCGGCGCCGTCCTGCAGGTAGCGGTGCGCCACGGCACCCGCAAATCAAACTTGGTCATGAGTCCAGAGGAAGCTGGCCTCACACAGGCTGTACTGACCCGAGGTCCCTCCACCCACCGTAAGGTTTCGAGGAGCGTCTGAAGGGRGCCCACATTGCACTCACTGAGACCGCCAGAACAAGTGGATTATCAAAGCTCTTAAAAAGATGCTTTCACGTGTCTACTTGTTGAACTGTTTTTAATGTTCGTGTCTGTTTGCACTTTGCTAACATCCCCTACCTAAAAGTAAATATTTATTTTTATCCCARGTTTTAATGTTCTCTCTAAGGCTTCAAGGTGAGATTAAATTTAAATTAAAAAATAAAATAAAAAAAACGCAGAAAAACAATGCCTGTTTGTSAAGCATCAGGATGTAAAACACTACCGGAGAGTCCCTCACATTATCTGGAAGGTCTATCTAGATTTTTAAAGCCTGAATCTGGGACTGAAGAAGTACCGGTCCCAAAAATCTGGATTAGAATAAGCTCAGCTGCTTCTGACGAGCTGCGATTTTCGAAACAGGAGGAGAGGAAGAGGAGGAGTAGGAAGGGTCGATTTGTGCCTTCAACCGTGACGCGTTCATGGTGCGGTTCGAYGGTTTCATCTGATTACGGCTTTAAAAATCCAGCTCAGGTCCATTTAGAATAAAAAAGAGGTATATTTTCATAAGAGTCTTATTTTATGTGTTTAGGTTTGTATTGGACATAATGCAAATACATATATTTTAGCTGGGTTTTTTTTACACATTCAGTACTTTCTGAACAGTGTGTTGTAATGTCCTYACCCTTAAAGAGTTATTCGTCCATGTTTTATGACAACAAGACGTGAAAGAAACTTATTTTTACACAGAAGTTATGATACATAGTTTTTTTAGACACTGAAAGGTGGTCCTTATGTGCTGTCTCCCCTCTGGCTAATTGTAGTAAAAACACTCAAATCAAACTTAACTGCTGCACAAATGAGTTTGGGAGAGTTTGCATGCTGCCTAAAAKCTTGATTCTTGTTTTGGTCTTATTTATAAGACAAATCACACTTCAGCCATGACTCTGTCAGCTCTTATATTTCACTAAACAATCAACTTTCACGTGATTTTTGCATTATCTAACATGGGCTGTATCCTGTGATTCAAAGGCTCCTCCAGTTRCAGCCCACAAATGCGTCCTCCTTCCCCCCACCCCCCGATTTGAGGTTCCACTTTATTCTGCACAGCCCAAGATGCATTGACCGGGAGATTTTCTTATAATTTATTTATTTATTTATTTTTTGCTTGCTTGGCAAACGAAGCAAGAGCCAGGAGTAGTTTTAAAATTAAAATCTGGAGGTACAAAAATGGAAAGTTCTCCCACTCGCCATCAACAAAGGACCCGGCCAACGTAGACGCAGCCCCTGAATTTGCACAATTTGCTCAAAGTCTGGATGTTACAAGTTTTTCAAGCCGTGTTCAAACCATTTCTGACAATCTTTAGGTGATTCTGTAAAAGGAAACACGAGAACATGATGTGCAAAAACTTAATTCACTTACTTTCATGTGTCAGACAATCCGTAGTACTCGAGTACTGACAGTTATTCACGGTGATAACAGAAGGATAAAAGAAAAGACTGGAGTGTGTTGTTAAAACCTGATTCATAGTTTAATCCAATATGCATCATAAAGTTAATCAATCAGCTAATAAACAAAGTTAAAATCTACCTTTTACCCCAAACTCTTGCAGCAAGGTTCAGAGCCGCTTCACACTTTTCTATGTGCAATGTTGGATTTAAAAAGAAGAATGTTAATTTATACTGTCAGAACWGGTTTACTTGTATATAGAGGTGTATTATAAGCAGTTTTACCTTGTAATTTATATGGAAGTGATTTATTATTTTTTTATGAAAATGTCCTAACATTCCTTTGGCAGTATTTTTTTTTCTTTTATTACAAATGTGTCATCTGAAGTGTAGGATTACAGGAGGTACCGTTTGGTTATGATGGTTGAAACAAACAGAGTCAGAATCTCTCAGAAAATGTTATAAAATGAATAATCTGCTCGGCTTCTGCTGCTCAGTTCAAACCCTCTAACTCAACACAGTCGTTTAAGTGCAATTGTGTAATATTAAGATTATTTTTCAGTCCGGAGCAAAGCGACAACGACCWTTAATCTCTTCACAAGTTTTAAACGCTTACAAAGGTTCTGCTCACCGCCACTCGAGGTGCCATACACGACTAGATTTATCTTCTCTGGCTGACGTTTCAGAGAAAATGACTTAAAATAAGAATTCAGGACAGAGTTGAATAAAAATAATCAGCCGTTCTGGCGATAAAATTCTTTACTGAGATWATTTCTTCGAAACTCAATCTGTGAAAACAAATCTGCTAATATTGAATTTTTTTTAAACTCATCTGTCCTGAACATGAGTCTTTTGGACCACGAGTTGCTTCACGAAGGCTTTAAATAAACACTTTCAGTGTCTCTGAAGTTAAAATGTTCTCGCTGACAGCAGCCGTTTAGTTTCTCCCCCCAGATAGCTTCTCCTTCATGAGTGAGTGTCAATGTTTTATTCTTTTCGTTTGAAGGTGTGTGAACTTGATCACGTTGAATTTGTACTTTTTTTGTTTTGTTTCGTTTTTCTGATTTGTAACTAAAAGTCAGATTGATGCTTTGTGTGTAAAAGAAATGCCAGGAAMCAAAACAAGCCTGGTGTTCAGACATTTCTGCAGTTTCAGTGCAGAAAAATAATAAAAGATTATATTGTATAATAGAATGTTTWAAAAAAAGAGGCCACATAGTTGTTTATTTTATATGTCGGGTAGATTGCATATGTATGTTACATGATTGAAAATTAAAAAGTAATTTTGTAAGATTTAAGAAGTGTCTTTTTAGAGGAGGTGAGGTTTATTTTTCGGTGTTGCACAGTCACTTGTACGGCTTGTTTTTCCTTTCTCTGTATTTACCATAAAGATAAGCTTTAACCATTTTATTGTTTAAAATGAAACTTAAAATTGAGTTTACACTCTAAATATTAATTATAAAATATTTAAATTATATATAAATCAACTTGGATATTGTGACATATTTGGAAATAAATATTTTTAAACATATTCCTGAGCAAACTTTGTCATTATCAGGATTTCTTGCATCTGGAAAAAAGATTTTCAGGACATTATTTTCACAATTAAAGCTAAAATGTATGACTTTAAAGATATAAAAAGCAATAATTTATGCCAGTATTTTGTTTATTTAGAAAATAGACACTACAAAGCAGATGTATAGCAGAAATATAGTAGCGATTTTGTCTTTCAAAAAAAATAAATACATTTATTTGCGATATTCTTACAGATTGAAACAATGTTTATCATTTTTAAGTAGCTTCTGTCAATTTGTACACCTTGTTGATCAGGATTTCCACCTCATCTCCTCCCAAATGACAAAGATCCAGGATGCAGACCACATGAGCGCCCTCCAGCTCGGGAGCAGTTGCCAAAATCTCCTCTGCAGGAAGAAAAAACAACCGTTTTGTTTCCAGCTCACAGAAGCCCCACCCTGCCAGAGAGGGTCTTTGATCTGTTCGTCAGCTACCTGGTTCAGGGGGCGTGGCTTCTCTGCGGCTGGTTTCACCTCGGAGCGGGCAGAGGAAACCTGACGACAGGCAGGACAGCATGGAGTTGTTGTGCGGCTCCTGAGGAAGACCGACGGCTCGGGGGTCGTCTGAGTGCGCGACGGGAAAAAACGCAGCATCCACCGCTATCTGTTTATTGATGCCTGTTGGACAGATAGAAAAAAAAGTTAAGAAAACAGCTTACGTCAAACTGAGCAACATGTTCACAGAAGACAGATAGGTGTTTTTTTTTTAAGGTCACTCAGACCTCCGACTGTGTAAATTGATTGTTGCCGACAGATGGTCACCACAGTGTGACACTCACTGATGACGTAAATAAAATACAACATAAAGATCAGTTAGTTGTGTTTGTTCAGGACCTGTTCAAACAAAAAAAAATAAAAAAAAGTCTTTGTGAGACATCCACTCAAGAGAAAAAAAGATGAGTKCGTCAGACAGAAGCTGAAAAGAAGAGAACAGATCAGAGAGATTCTGCCGGACCCAGAATGGTGAGCTGGTAGTATCCTGGACAAGAAGCGGGGAGGAGGGTGTCGGAGGATGACTCCGACGTCCATCGCTGAGGCTGAAGGTTACTCCACCGCAGGAGAGCGCTCTTCTCGTCCAACGTGAAGCCGCGAGAGACGCTGTCCCCGTGCAGGATGCCTGGACACAGGTGTTCGGAGAGTTCTTGTTGCTGCTCGCACCAGCTGCTGCTTTCCCAGGACAGAGCGGGAGAGTCTGGTGGGAAAACAAACGTTAGTGTATCTCAACACACACACACACACACACACACACACACAGAGGAGTGAAGGCGAAGCTCTAACTCACCTTGACGTTGTTCTTCATGTTGAAGCTCCTCTTCCTCCTGCTCTCGTGTCTCTGTATCTCCAGGCCTCCTGCAGAGGCAGAGACAAATAATCTCAGAAACTTTTAAAGAATTTACTGAAAAATAAACGTAATTATTTCAGTCTGAACTACCTTTTAGACAAGCTGCTGCCGTGATTAAAGCAGGACGGAGTGGTTTCACTGGAAAACATGAGTTACAGTAGATTTAACTCATTAAATTACTTGTTCACACAAATACAATCTATACCASTTTTTCTCCAAGTTATACATTTTCTTTATCCGTTAGGTTATGYATGTCCTAAATGCWACATAAAATATAGTTTGGAAAACATAATTTGTTATAAAACATTTTTTTCTACAAATACTGACAGAAACTGGTCCTCAGCTTGGACCGAGTTTTGAATATTGACSCCCTTGTGAAGCAGAGTTTGACCTCGCTGTGTTAGAGATTGTGTATAAACTCTGTGTTTAATCCAACCTGAGGCTCGCAAACATCTCAGGAGTTAAGTCAAACCTATTCTGAATTCTTCTTTTCCTTCTGTTTGCCGAGCTGCCGTCAAAGGAAGGAGACGTTGAACAGCCTGCGGTCTGCTCAGCTGATTCTGGTGCGACTCGTTCTCGCTCAGCGTTCCAAACCTGACGAAAAACAAATGAAACTCATTCGTTTCAAACCCTCACTACTTTTAAATAAAAGACACTTTAAAATGAGGTCCCTTACCCCAGTCTCTTCCACTCCTTGTGTTTCTGTGGTTTGAAGGGGCTTCATGAAGCGCACCGCTGTGATCTGTCCCTGAATCGCAAGTTTTTTATGCTCTCTGTAGTGCAGAGTCTCTAACTCTGTCTTCAGGTCAGCCACAGCAACCAGAGGAGCCGGACCTTAAAATGGAAAGATGATTTAAAACCTGTTGTTTTAATTGAAAAAACAAAATCTTTTGTTTCTTACCTGATGAATCTGTCTGTGTAAACATCTGTGGGGGGTGGGGGTAACAGTAATGGCCGCCGACAGCCGTCTTCTGCAGGATGGCGTTGTCCTTCAGAGTCTTGGTCCACTGGATGAAGCTCTTCACTCTGGGGTCACTCACATATGGCTGACCCTTGTGGTACCCTGGTGTGGACACAGAAAATCCTTTAAATCTGCACCTGACACATTAAAGTTTAATAAAAATTTAGACTTTAGATACAAAAGTCCCGGGCAGGTCGGGGCTTGGTGCAGGAGGAGAGGAGGGTAGCAGCTCAGTATTAGTWCTCTTCTCACAGACAGCAGGAGCTGCCCTGCTCTGCTCTGATTGGCTACAACTGTGACTCTGCTTCTCTTTATTGGTTGAAAGCAGCGTCAGCTAAATCCCACTGGACTACAGAACGCAACAACACACTTTTTTTTCTCCTCCTCACTTTTAGGAAATACGTCGGAGACAGAAAACTTTAATCGCTTCTGCCCAACAAGCTTTAAAGGGATACATGATTAGTTGTAACATTAGACTTTATTTAATAAATATATTTTAACTGTAAAAATACTGTAGGATGTTCAGTTTTTATCATTTTTAAACTAAAAGTTTAAAAATATATTACATGGACGGGACCATTTTATTTACACATAAAGCATTCTGGGTAAATGACGACRTGGATAGGTCATCGGTGTGAGGCTGCTAGCGAGCTATATCCACCCTGAAGGTTAATCTTGGACAATATCTGATGATCGACTCTTTTAAATGAAACCAGAGAGCGTTGACAGAGAGGAGAAGGTAGAAATGACTCAGCCTGTAACTGAAAATATGGATGGAGGACAACAGAGCTGCTTCATGGAAGAAGAACCTCAGCTTAGCCTGTTAGCTTTAGCCCCGATGCTATCACCATATATATGTATTAGCTCAGTGCTACACATTCTCCTCTCGTCACTGAGGTCCTCCATCCACATGACAGAGAGGAGAAAACAAAACTCACTCAGCTGCAACTGAAAATATGGATGGAGGACCTCAGTTTAGCTTGTTTGTCGCACTAGCACCGAGCTAATACATATAAGGCAATATAGCGTCGGCGCTAGCGCAAAGCTAACAGGCTAAGCTCTTCTTCCATGAAGCAGCTCTGTTGTCCTCCATCCATATTTTCAGTTCCAGGCTGAGTCATTTCTACCTTCTCCTCTCTGTCAACGCTCTCTGGTTTCATTTAAGAGTCGATCATCAGACATTGTCCAAGATTAACCTTCAGGGTGGATATAGCTCGCTCACACCGAGGACCTATCCACGTCAACATTTACCCAGAATGCTTTGCGTGTAAATAAAATGGCTGCGTCCGTGTTAAAATATATTTTTAAAAATTTACAAAACTAAACAGCCTACAGTATTTTTACAGTCTTTATTTTACAGTTAAAATATATGTTTATCAAATAAAGTCTACTGTTACAACTAATCAGGGATCCCTTTAAGACCTTTGAATAATATATTTAAGGTCAACTTACACATTACTTTATGAATTTAAGAGTTGTTAAGAATGTGCAGACACCCTGGATGAAGAGGCAGCAGTCACCTGTGATGAAGATCTCTGTTTCACAGCTGCTGGTGAGGTACGGCAATGAGCCCTCCACCTGACAAACCCTCATCTGAGTGCACACCAGGTAGGTCACTACAAGAAAAAAAAAATGTTATTATTAACCACGAGGAGAACATGCAAACTCTACACAGGAAGACCCCAGGCACAAAAGGTGTCTGTGTTACAGAGGTGCTGTGCCTTACTTGGACAAATCTGGCTGAATATTTCAGGCTGAGATGAGGAGAAAAGCTCCAAGATAAAAGGCTGGTCAGACGTTCCGTCCACCACGTGCACCCAGCGATACGTCCAGTATTTCTCTGGAGCTGAGAGGTGCACAGTGTCAGCCACTACCTAATGTCTTCAAATGATAAACTGAGTGTAAAAATAAATTCAGCTGATAGAGAAAACATAAACCCAACATACCTTTGTTCCCTTTACTTCTGACTCTTTCAACACGGCCAACGAACGTCACCAGACCAATGACATCATAGGCAAAGTTGTTGGATAGGGTTTCTAACTCAGACCTGCAAAAGTGAAAAATAAAGAGCAGTGAAATATGGAACGATACGAAAAAAAGGTAAATTAAAAATGTACATGTGTCAAGTAGGAATGAAATGTACATTTAGAGTAATGAAACATGGATTTATCACCTGCTGGTGAACTGGTAGGAAACCTGAGGCAGCCCCCACTGAGGCAGGACCCTCTTTGGGGAGACCACAGTGATGACTGAACCCGGGTTTCGATAATTCAGGCAGATTTCTAAAAGAAACATTTTATAAATAAATATTGACATTTTCTGTCCCAGACGACATCATCAACCAAAACATCGGTTTAATGTTACATTTATCAAATTAGGACCCCACAGGCCTTTTATCAGACTTCTATTCTTTCCCGGTGTCAGTCAAATTTAATGTTACAAATAAATATTTCAGTTTAAATGAACTGAACATATAATCCAGGTCCTTGTTTCAGAGGTTTCCCTGTTCAAACACATCCTGTGAATGACAGGAATCACCTTTTTGCCTTTGTTGTTTCTCTGTTGGGAGTGTTCTGGGTACATACCAACAGAGGTAAAGTTCTTCAGTCCGTAATGGTCCATCTGTGGGCGAGATCTCTTGGAATAACTCTGCTTCAGCGAGTAATTCTGGATGTACAGCACGCTGCCGACTTTCATCCTCTCGTAAAACTCAGGACAGAGCTCGTTCCAAAGCACGAGCGACATCAAGCCACTCTGGTCAGCAACTTCAAAATATGCCTGTAATATATACAACCAGTCAGCAGATATGTCAACGTTCAAACTGTGAACAAGAACAGGTTAGCATATTAATAAATGATACGAAGGTTAAACTCGCCTGATAGGGGTAATCAATCTTCAGGCCAAATCTTCCRTAGTATCTTAACCTGGACTTGTGAATTATCTTCACGAGTAGAGGGAGAGGTTTTGATGAGACTTTGAAGCAGGAGTCCACACTCCTCAGAAGAGCAACCTTAGACACTGAAACAAATTTAAACCAGACTGTTAGGTCATAACAGCTTTTTACATTCAATAAACCTTTCCATAAAGGAAAATAGTAACTAGGTATGGGCAATTTCTTTGCAAATATAATTTAGCCAGTAGCTGCATTACAAGTGAATGAAGAAACTGGTTGTGCCATAAATAAACAATTCTTCTCAATTTATTAATAAAATTTCTTATCTAAGATTATGAGGTTTATAATATTACAAAATTTATGTTAAAAGGTGAACTTTCTATGTCTTTAAACGAGTTACATTGCAAATATTTCTGAGTTTTGGCTCTTTGGTGCTACTTTTCTGATGAAGCCTTTAGAATCACACAGGACACAAATCAACCAGTTTTTAAGACAATATACTGAATACAGAGGTGGGTAGGGTACTCAAAAGTTGTATTCAAGTAAGAGTAGCGATACTTCATAATAACATTACTCAAGTACTGAAGGTGTAGTCACAATACAAGTGATCAGCTGAAGACCTGACATACTCACCATCCAGAACCGTCTGAGAGGACGAATGAGACCCCGAGATCCAGAGCTCTCCCTCCGGGTCGTCATTGTTCCACAGCGGCAGGTAGTGTTTGCGGCTCACCTGCAGGGGAACGTCCCTCAGAAGCGCCAGGCTCCTCTCCATGCCGTGTTTCACCAGCACGGGCAGCGACTCGACGTCACTGATGCTGGACAGGACAGCTGACCTCTCTGCCACACAACTGAGCTGTTCAATGCAAATGTAGCCATGCCCCAGTCTCCTCTCGTTGTAAACAAAGGAGCACTGGCTGACGCGGACGTCGCCTCCGGCCTTCAGCTTGTTTTTGTGCACCAGGTGGTTCAAACCTGGGTGAAGGAGGCATTTGGCTCGCCAGAACCCGTCTGTGAGCGTCACGTCGTAGGCGTAGCTGTCAGCCCGCTGCCCGTCAGGCTGCTCTGTCAAATACCTCTGAAGAGAAACGRCGGCGACAGGAGCTGCCTCCTCTGCGAGCTTCAGGCACTGGGTGGAAGATAAACGCTGCAGCGTCCTCTGAAGAAAAGACGGCGGACAGACAGCAGATACCACCGAAGAAGACGAGCTATCCTCCATTGACGACTTATTTAGAAAACCACAGCCGAAGCCGTTAAATTAGACCATTTTAGCCAATAAGTTGCTCATTTAGCTTACTAAAACAGTGCAGATGTAAACTAGACTTCACAGTAAATGTCGATTAATTTATGAGAAGTTACTTCGTTAGAAATATGTTTAAGGTGGGTTAGCTGTTAGCTAAAAATACAAACAGTGCGGTGCTGTTTGATTGCGTCACAAATTTCCTCTATCTCGAAATGGTGCACAGATAAGTAATTTGCGCATAGAGCGCAAAATGTAACTTTGCGATTCAAAATACTTCACCTAACTTTAAAACTGGTCCACTCCAAAGTGTGCAAGTTGCACTGTTTTTGAAATCCGCGCAATACTGCGCGAGGACCCCTTGTGTCTACGTCATCAAGGCGACAAACGGGCCATGTTTGTAGTTCTGTAGTCTCATTTTAATTGGTCCCATAAACTTTGGAAAAAGTATATTTATTTATTTATTTATTTATTTACAGTCTAGCGTTGGATGTTACAGTACATGTCCAGTTAAAAAAATATCCACCTGTTTTAAAACATTTTTAGTTAAATAGTCCATGCATCTATTCCATGTAGGACAAAAATATCAAAAAAAATGTTGAGTAGGTCCTCTGGATGGGTTCATTTTTGTTTAAACTGTTTCGTTTATCCTACAAGAGTCTACTTTAGTCCGAGGAGTTTTGGTACGAGCAGTTTTCAACAAAGAAAACCCGTCTAGAGGGCCTCCTAAACTTGTTTTTAGGGAGTGATAATGAGCTGATTTGGTTCTACAATAAATAAATAAATAAATAAATGTTTTTATACACACATCATCTATGTGAATGTGGCTTGTTTTATTATCAAACATAAGTCACTTCATTATTATTATTATTATTATTATTATTATTATTATTATTATTATTATTATTATTATTATTAGTTTACAGCAGTACAGTAGAAAGTTTTTGTTTTGTTTAAGTTTTCTCGTCAAAGACTACAATCCCATAATGCTTTGCGCTCCTGGCAACAATTCTTGTCGACGTGGGAAGGGAGGGATACAGACACAAAAACACACACGGACGTCTTTGGGTTTTTGGCTGTTGTTAGGGGCTTGTTTGACAGATGTCCGCGACATGTCAGGTGTATATATCGGAGAACTTCGTCACGTTTGAAACATGTGGCTCAAACCGGAAGAAATTCTGCTGAAAAACGCGTTTAAACTGTGGGTCACCGAGAAGGATAATGAGTACTTCGTACTGCAGAGGAGACGGGGGTACGGCGAAGGTGGCGGCGGGTTGACAGGTAAAGTAGCGGGTCGATTATTTATTTTCGCCCCCTCTTGTAAATTCAGGACAACTACTGCTTTAAAGGCACATTTAAGCACTTATATGTGTTAAGTGATATTGATTGTTTCTTAGCTGTTGTTCCCTGTCATATCAGAAAGAATGCTAACGTTATCAGGAAAAAATAGTCCCTTTGCAACAGGTGGAAAATAATGTGAGTTAGCATCTTTTTAGCTAGTTTACAATATGTTTGAGTACGTGTCAGTAATTTTGCATTGTGTTTTTTTGTCCAGCATTGTTGACAAAAAGGGCGTTAATCCTATTTCCTCTCCCACTACGCTTTTTTAAACCAACAGCATGTACAGTTTTCTGAATCAAAACACAGGCTGATTTGAAAAAAAAAATAATAATAATAAATTAAATTAAATTAAAAGATGCTCCCTCCTGTTGTGTAGTTCCAGCTCAAAATAATTCGACAGCATCTTTTTCCATAAATCAGTGAAAGATACTGAAAATTAGTGATCAAATTCTTGAATTTGTCGCCCTGTAAAACACAAAGAACTGTTCTCTGGAAAATAAAAAAAACATCAGCACCTTTCATGAGGCACTGATGCTCATTTGAGTTGCCACATGCATAAATCACGTCACATCTTTACACAAGGAAAGGAAGTCGTTGTTTGTTCAGATTAGACCTGCAGCTGTCTGTTTTCAGCATTAATATAAGGTCATTTTAGATTGTCTTTAAAAAAAATACAACCTATACACACCAAAACTCTCACAGGAACTAGATCTAATGTCTTGTTTCTTCTTTTAGTTTCTCATATAAATGTTTGACTGTAGGATAAGTGATTGTTCAGAACAACTTTGAGCTGATTTGCATCAACTCTTTCTTTGCCAGGGTACATCTTGAGCATGTTTGTTGTTTTTGTGCTTCAAATTTTTCAGCTGAACTGGCAGATATCGTTATTAACATGTGGCATTTGCAAACGGCATTCTTTTTGAGTTTTGCATCGTAGACTTTGTGGAACTAAATCTGTGACCCATCACATCAAACTGTGAATTAAGTTTAATTTGGATCAAAATGACTTCAGCACATTTTCAGATAAAGCTGGATCATCCTGATATCCTGAGTGGTTCCAGAGATATGTCTTGATTTGTCTTTCTGTTTAGGATAACACATTTATATTTGGTTTGAATCTTGTTTCTATGTTATTCTAATGAGGAATTTTTTTGCGTAATTTTAAAGAAGAAACCTCAGACTGTTTTTGGATATTAAGAGTTACCAGCTTGGAAGGGAAAAAGAGATTTACCAGCACATGGAAAATGACAAAACTTTTAAGTCTTCTGAAATTATTATCATTTTTGTAACTACTGCTCAAAGAAATGCTTAAAAATTTAAGATTATATTTAAGATGTTTCTGAAAAGGTTAGTAATATAGGTAAGTAGGTTAATTCATTATATTTTGGCAAAGTGCAATTTATGCAGATGTTTTAACCAAGCACTATAGCAGCCTATTTCTCCAAATGCCTCTTTGTGACCTAATCCTTGGCTCCATGTGATGAATCACACATATGTTTAGAAGTTGGGTTGTTTTTAAGGACTGTCCAGTCTCTGTATAACCAAAGCAGAAGCAGTGTCCACAGTCTTGGCACAAAGTCGAGCTCGTTCTCAGTGCAGGTTGGATTCTTCCATGACTGTTCCTTGGCCAGATTCTGTTTGTGGTGTTCATGGACAGGATCTCAAAGAGCAGTCGCGGAGAGGAGAGTGTCTGTGAAAATGAAAACCTCAGAGTCTCTTCTCTGCAATAACGATGTGGTTCTGTTGGATATTTTGGGCCATGACCTTCAGCGTGCACTGCGGYGAAGATGAGAGTCAGCTCCTCTAATAGGTGCGAGGACATGGTTCTCAACAAGAAACAGGTGGGATACCTCCTACTGATCAGGGGGAGTCTTTGCCTCTGGTGGAGGAGTTACTACAAATGAGCAGTAGGAGATGTCAGTGTAAGAGTTTGGCTGTAATAAGAGTGGAATCTGCAGGGCAGCTACTGATTTTTAGTCACACTTTCTAACCACCTACCAGAGCGTGACAGTAAGGTAATCACCAGATAATTAATGATAATGAGCGGTTTCAACACTGAAGCTAAAATTACAGGTGTCCTGGGTGGCTGCTTTAATGATGGAGTTTATTTACAACATGGTGGTTCTCATCAGAGGAGTCTTTAACATCTGAGGCGTCTTTTATCCTCTGCTACACAATCAATGGGTTGATAAGAACGTTAGTAATGTCAACCGTGCTGGATGCGCTGAATGCTTTTAGAAAACACAGCTGACAGTCTGCTCTGAAACTGATGGAGTGCATTATGGTTTCAGCACAACCCTGTTAATAATTYATGGAGGGCTCGCCAGCAAGACTGTGTAAAGGTAACAGATTTAGCTAAATTTAGTTCTGGCACTGACCTGGGGCTTCATTTATTTCTGCTGTCTGTATGGATTTAAAGTCCTTGATCCAAGTTTTAGGAAATAAATAAAACACTGATGCACACTGTATTGCTTTAATGATTTAACATATATTTTAGATGCTTCTAAGTATGATTTTATTACAGCTTTTAAATGGTTGTTGGCAACAAACTGTCTGCTTTTCAAAGACATTATGTGGGTAAGTGTTATTAAAATGTTTGTATTTATAAGTCTGCTGTGATTTCCAGGCCTTCTTGTGGGAACCCTTGATACTGTGTTGGACTCCACATCCAAAGTCGCTCCCTACCGCATCCTACACTACACACCTGACTCACAGGTGTACTGGTCCATAGCATGTGGTACGTGACTCCATTTAAATTATCCCGTCTGCTGATTTAAACGCTCAACTCTTCTTCAGGTAAAGGCATATTTAAGTCCCTCTGAAACAGCATTAAATATTTACTGTTCAAGCACTGATATCCATGAAAAATCAAGTYAATACAACAAGTTTGGTTTGCACTAATTCAAGTTAAAGAAAAGAGGGTTTTACTAAAAAGTGTCAGCTGATTTTAAAAGATGATTAAAAATGGGGGAAATGGAAAGGTAAATAGTCTTTCTGATTTGTTTTTACTCTATTGGTTCAGGTGTCACCAGAGAGGAGATTGTGCAGCACTGGGACTGGCTGCAGCAGAACATCATGAGGACGCTCTCCGTTTTCGACTCCACTGAAGACATCACCAGCTTTGTCCAGGGGAAGATTAGAGTAAGAAGTTAGAAAAGACTGAAAAACCTCCTGGATGGTTTTCCARTCGTTTTGAATTCAACTAAATGCCTTCCTGTCATGTTGTGTTTCAGGGCCTGATTGCAGAAGAAGGGAAAACATCTCTGGTGCTGGAGGACGATCCGGAGAAATTCCGAGAAGCACTTCTGAGGTTTGAGAAGTGGTTTGAGCTGCCCCCCCAGGAGAAGCTGGTCACGTATTACTCATGCAGCTACTGGAAAGGCAAAGTACCCTGCCAGGGCTGGCTCTACCTCAGCACCAACTTCTTGTGCTTCTACTCATACCTTCTGGGATCTGAAGGTAACATCTAAGCTGAAACATGTGCTGAGTGGGGTAACTTCTAATTGCAACAAAACCATTTTTCATGTATTTAAGACAGTTTTTTTCCTCAAATAGAAAATAGTTCTTGGTAATTGCTGCCATTATAGCTGACCTTACAGTATAGACTCAAATATCTCTGTGGATAATTGTTGGCTCTGATTTTTGGGTCACATTGTAAGACATTTCATAATGATAGTATATTCATTTTTTTCCCCTGTAGTTATTTCTGAACCTGTTTTAAAATTGATTTGTTTACCTGACACTACAGTGAAGCTGGTCATTTCCTGGGATGAGATCTGGAGGTTGGAGAAAACCTCTAACGTTATTCTGACCGAGAGCATCCACGTTCTGGCCCACGGAGAGGATCACTACTTCTCCATGCTGCTGCACCTCAACGAAACCTTCGTCATCATGGAGCAGCTGGCCGAYTACGCCATCAAACGTCTTTTTGATAAAGAGGCCTTCCAGAGAGAGCCAGCGCTCTCAGACCCCCTGCAAATCACCAAGAGGCACGGCTTTAATGATGCTGAACACTGGTTTAAAAAAATTAAATGTGTTTTTTTGGTTTTAATTTTTTGACATCATTTTCACTACAGAGGCCTGGAGGCACACGCAAAAAGTCAGCAATTCCGGACRTTTTTCAGGCTTCCCAAAGAGGACAACTTGTTAGAGGTGCATGAGAGCTACTTGTGGGTGCCCTTCAGCCATTTTAACACACTCGGCAAGATCTGCCTGTCTGAGAACTACTTGTGTTTCGCCAGTCAAGATGGAAGTCAGTGCCATGTTGTCATTCCAATGCGAGAGGTAAAGCTGGGCAGATGAAAATATGATGTCATACTGTGACTCTCTTACCTGCCTGCATTTCCTGATAACAGGTCGTCAGTGTCGACAAGCCAGATTCCAGCAGCAAGGCTTTAACGGTGTGTGTGCGTGGCAAGAGAGCGCTGCGTTTTTCTGAAGTGTGGGACTACCAGCGGCTCGCCAACACGATCCGTAGCCGGTGTGGGATCAGTGCCAGCCCACAGCACTCGAGTTCATCAGAGGTGAGATGATGTGTTTTTATYTGTGCTGTTTTCATCTCGTGGTCTGCAGCACCCTCTGACAGCAAGAGAATTTACAAAACATCCTTAATGCTCAGGCCATACGTGGAGAATGCCAATCGCTCATAAATCACTTCGAGGACAATCCGGAGGACGTGACTCTCATGGTGGGACAGAAAGACAGCAGTAAGGCTGTAAGCACCGAAGCCCTCATGACTGTTTTCCACCCACAGGATGTTGAAAATCTTGACCCTAAAATGGTAGGCACCAGATTCCTGCTAAAATCAGTTGTTTTCAACTTTTCAAACCATGATGCTAATAAATGAGAGTTCCTTCATATGTGAAGAGATATGTGCTGTCTATGTGTTTTTTAGCTTAAAGAGAAGATGAAGGAGCAATCTTGGAACATCCATTTTTCTGAATACGGACGTGGGACGAGTATGTTTTTCACCAAAAAGACAAGAGACTTGATTGTTCGCGGTGTTCCTGAATGTTTGAGGGGAGAGCTGTGGATGCTGTTTTCAGGTATCTGTACTTCATCTACCACTCCTCTATTTACAGTCACACAGGAAGTTATTTTTTAGCGAGTCCCTTTGAGTTCTTTAAAAGCTGGCAGGTGTGAGATCACCACATTCTGCGTGAACCCGTAGGCGCCGTAAACGAGATGGCCACTCACCCCGGTTATTACACCGAGCTGGTGGAGCAGTCTCTGGGCACGAGCACTTTGGCCACAGATGAGATCGAAAGAGATCTGCACCGTTCTCTGCCCGAGCACCCGGCGTTTCAGAGTGACACGGGAATCTCAGCTCTGCGCAGAGTCCTTACTGCCTACGCCTACAGGAACCCCAAGATTGGCTACTGCCAGGTAAATCAGTTTCTTCAGCTACTGCATATTTAATAACTAGATTAAGAAACATCGCAGCCAGTTATTGTTATTTATGTATTTTATTATTAAAGGGGACATATCCTGCAAAATCAACTTTTTAGCCCTTAAATACAGTGGAGTCTCTAGGAGTGCAGAGAAGTTAAATGTAGTCTCTCTCTGTGCTGCGTAGATATCTTTATATTCTGTGTGTGTATACACTTGTTTCTGCTACAGAGTGAGGACCATAATATGTTTTTTTAACCTACTTTTTGGGAAGTGAGGACATTTTCTCGGTCCTCACCTTTTTTCACAGTTCTGCTACACTCTACTAGTTAGGTTTAGATATGGTGTGAATGAAGTTTTGGCTCAGGTTAGGGATAGACTAGTAATGGTTAGGGTTTGGGAAAATGTCTGGGTTAGGCATAAATGCAGTTTAAAAAAAATGAACGGAAGTCAAAACAAAGTCCTCAGTTTGATGGAAATACAAGGATGTGTGTGTGTGTGAGAAGCGCTTCAGTTGGATTTAAAGAGGCAGTGTCAAAACAAGTTGATCTGAGCCATCCTCAGACAAGAGGTGAAAGAGGGGCTTGTGGAGTTACGATAAGGAGGAATTCAGACCAAAGCATTGCAGTTCCACTTTATATAGACCAGTGGTTCCCAACCCTGGTCCTCAAGTACCCCTATCCAGCATGTTTTACTTGTTTCCCTGCTATTCAGCAGGTCTTCAGAAGATTGTTAATCACTCATTCATTCAAACCAGGTGCATCAAATCAGGGAAACATCTAAAAATCACTGCTTTAAATGTTTTTTTTTTTTTTTTTTTTTTTTTTGATGGAAGGAGGGAAACATCTAAAAATCACTGCTTTAAATGTTGACCAACACCTCAAGAGCTTCTCTGAGCTTAAGACATTTTCAAAATATAATAACGACTTAGTTTTATGTTTTTTAGTATTGCCTCTGGAAGCCATTGATTCTTTGCCATTTATGTGTAAATAATAAATCAGATAACATGTATTAAAGCTGTGATTCTCAACCCTGATCCTCAAGGACCCCTTTCCTGCATGTTTAGGTGTTTTCCTGATTTGACACACCTGGTTTGAATGAATGAGTGATTAACAATCTTCTGAAGACCTGCTGAATAGCAGGAAAACAAGTAAAGCATGCTGGACAGGGGTACTTGAGGACCAGGGTTGGGAACCACTGATATAGACCCTGACTGAATGATTTAAATGTGAACAAGAAGGATTTAAAAGCTTGATATATTTCCTTTAATACAAGTGGTGATACAGTATTATGATATTTCTGTATAAAATTCACAGTTATAGATTCTTAGCTGCAGGAACACATTATAAATGCAAACCTTTTTGCTCCTGTTATGCTACACATTTACTATAGTACAAACTGCATGCATCTTGTTGCCATGGCAGCCTGCATGCATGCAGTGATGCTGCAAGAAAAAAAACTCTCCTGATCTGCTGACTGATTATAAATCTGTTTCAGCTAAAAAGGTATTAAACTCTAAAAGAAAAACACGTCTTTTCTTGTCTTTAGGCCATGAACATTCTGACCTCGGTTCTCCTGCTGTACGCTAAAGAAGAGGAGGCTTTCTGGCTGTTGGTAGCTGTCTGTGAGAGGATGCTGCCGGACTACTTTAACCGGAGAATTATCGGTGAAACACGAATCTACAGATTCTAACACTATTTGTGCAGGTGATTTAAAAGAAAATGGGTTTAAAGGTCTGATATGTGTCCCAGGTGCTTTGGTTGACCAGGCCGTGTTCGAGGACCTGATCAGAGAAAACCTCCCCCAGCTGGTGGAACACATGACGGACCTGACGTTCTTCTCGTCTGTTTCCCTGTCCTGGTTTCTCACTCTGTTCATCAGCGTTCTGCCCATAGAGAGTGCCGTCAATGTGGTGGACTGCTTCTTCTATGACGGCATCAAGGCTATCCTGCAGCTCGGCCTCGCTGTGCTGGACTACAACATGGAGGCTCTCATCAGCTGCAACGATGACGCAGAGGCTGTCACCATCCTCAACAAGTCTGTTTACGTATAAAGCAACACACTACAAAGGTTATTTCTCTGTAAACTATAGTTTTTTTTGTTTGTTTCTGATGGCGTTGTTTCAGGTTCTTCGACAGTGTGACAAATAAAGACAGCCCGTTGCCTCCCACAGTGCAGCAAGCCTCAGTAGGAAATAATGAGAAAGCATCCCACATCAGTGTAGACATCAGTGAACTGATCCGAGAGGCGTACGAGGTTGGACAAGATTGACGCCTTCCATTTTGAGTCTGCAACATTTGGGCTGCAGATAATATCATTGTTTTCTGTTTTTATAGAAATATGGACACATCCGTACAGAGGACGTTGAGAGCTCACGGAAACGAAACAAACTGTTTGTGATCCAGACTCTGGAGGACACGACGAAGCAAAATGTTGTAAGTTACACCTGTGGTTTCCAACCATTTTAGACTTATGTACCTCTGAGCCATTTTGTCATACCACCAGTACCCCTTCAGTCAAACGTAATGATGATTCTCCAAAACTATAATGTACAATAAATGATTATTAAATGAAAATCATTTATTTAACACCCTAGAACTTTTAATTCTCAGGCATTTTATTTTTTTCAACTCAAATTAAATATAAAGAAAACAGCAGCGTCCAAAATATGTCAGAAACTCACCCAAATTTACACACCTGGGAAATTTTTTCACGTAGCCCCTGCAATATGCTCGCGTACCCTTGGTTGGGAATCACTGCTTTAGACAGTGTGAAGGACTGAAGGAGCTGTCCAAGGTCCTGAATGTGCTTTCAGGACTTTAGACAGTATGAAGGACCAAAGGAACTTTCCAAGGTCCTGAAAGTGCTGGAATGTTTCAGGACTTTAGACAGTATGAAGGACCAAAGGAACTTTCCAAGGTCCTGAATGTGCTGGGATGTTTCAGGACTTTAGACAGTATGAAGGACCAAAGGAACTGTCCAAGGTCCTGAAAGTACTGGAATGTTTCATGACTTACACTACAGGAATTAATTTTGCTGTGTTGTTATTGTGGCTTTAAGGATTGATACAGTGTCTGTTTTCAGATTCGAGTGGTGTCTCAAGAAGTCAGATTAAATGTCACGCAGCTTGATGAGCTTTACAACCTGTTCAAAGTGAGTCCAAAGCATAAAACAGTACCTTCTCTTTCATTTCAAACACTTAAACTAATAGAGTTCATGCCTTTTCACCTTCTCGTTATTTCCTTTATTCAGAGGCAGCACTTCCTCAGCTGCTACTGGACCATGAGCAGTCCCGCTCTGCTCCACCATGATCCCAGTCTGGCCTATTTGGAGCAGTACCAGTTAGGTTTCCAGCAGTTCAGTGTGCTCTTTTCCCTGCTTGAACCCTGGACCTTTTGCTCCTCCAAGAGCACGCTGTCCCTCTGGATCTTCCGCCTAATAGACGAGAACCAGGACGGTCTTATCAACTTCAAAGAGTTTTGCTGTGCCCTCGGTACATTTGATTTTTGTTTTTAATTTATTTTTTATTATCCCTGCTGCTTTAACTGCATGTTTCTTCTTCCTTAGATACTTTGTACAGTGGATCTTTCACAAATAAGCTGAAATTTCTCTTCAAGCTCCACCTGCCTCCAGGTTAGTGATTAAAAAAAACTGCCTTACTTCTATCTCGAGATTATTTCAGAGTCATTATATTAGACTTCTAGTTCAAAGTACTAGTGCGCCAAATGTCTTTTCCTTGGATTTGTTAGTTTTCGTGTTTGCCCACCATGTTAAAGCAACGATGCTGTTTAAACTTGCAGAGCTTCAACACACATATGAGTTGTCATTTTAATAATCCAGCCCGTTACTCAGGATTGTGTTGAGTGAGCACTTCGCCTGGGGTAAGACGCCGCCCTTGAAGCTCTTATCTACGCGATGTGTCACTGCCTGCTCGGAGGCCAGGGTGGTAAGAATAGCACGTATTTGAGTGAAAGCACTCCCCATGGCAGCGACGGGTGCAAGGCACTGCGAGGGCATTCGCCAGAGGGCTGGTTTCTCTGAAAGGAGGATCTGTGAAAGGAGAGAGCTGCTCAAATTACAGCTGACAGCGTAGCAGTGGCAGACGAGCCCTGAGTCACCGTTTGTGCTGCGCCAGGCCAATAAATGTCAGGCAGAGAAGCCCATTTTGTGTCTCCAGGAGAGTGTGCATGCTTCTGCACCAAGGACGGGTCACATCCTGGCGCTTCATTTCACATTACCGTACAAGGYGTTCAGTCCACATCGTATCTGCATCTTTGCAAGTAAAAGGTGCTGAAAGTGAAGCGAACACTTCATTGATCTGGGAAATGTAATCATGTGCTTTTTAGAGCTGAGAATCTTTCAGCCCAAACAAAGCGTGCAGCAGCTGTTTTCACTTATCAGATAAAGAGCAGCGACTGCTCACTTACGTCACTTGTGTTTTCATTACAGAGATGGTTAAACGTTTTGTACTCTCAGTGTACAAAAACAACCACGCTGAAGTTCACTGTACTACAGTCCTGTAACCCCACAGTGGGAAATGTTGCCAAAGTAAATTGAAATTAAACCTGGATCTTCAATAATATTTAACAATAAGGTTTCACAATAAATGTGCAAAATTTAAAATAAAGTCTGATTTTTTTCACTCGTGGCTGCAGAAAGGAATATCTAAGAGGCTGTCGCTATGGGGGGGGGGGGGGGGGGGGGGGTTCTGAGATTCAGGTGCGGACCTCAGGCTGTGCTCTTAATGCAGCAGTAAGCTGTCAAGCAGACAACATGACAGTGCTGACTGTCAGGGTTTAATCGATGCATGAAAAAGGCACGCGTGTTTGCACCCACATGTGGGTCATCTGTGGGGGGGGTGGAGCGCAGAGATATAACGGAGCATATCCCAATTAACAGTGAAAGAGTTAGAAGGTATTTTAGAAATAAACTGCTTATTTTATTATCCAAAAACACACTTTGTTGCAATGTTAAGGTTCTTTATAAAAAAAATACATGTTTATGTAACAAATGGTCCTGGTAAAAATGTCAAATTACACGATATAAGAAAAGATGAGAACTTTAAAATCTGCAGGAAAACATTTGAGCACTAAACCTTTCATCTGAAATGCACACACACACACACACACACACACACACACACACACACACACACACACACACACACACACACTAGAAAAGTGGTTTAGAGATTGTTGGCAGACTGTAAACATTTTAGTGCCCCAGACAGCACCTGGACCTGAAAATCACCAGAATCTGTGGATAAAACTAAAAATGATTTTAAAACAGACCTATATCCAAATGTTGTTTTATAAGATAAGTGACCAAAAACCCAAGAGGAAATGTAAAAATAAAAATTATTTATGATACAACAAAGGAGTAATTCAATAACATTTTTTTAAGAATAAGTTTTTTATGTTTACATAATTCTCTCTGGAAGGCATTAAAATGTAAACAGTTAAGTTCAGAACATCAAATAAAGCTTTCAGGGTTGTTAGTTACACCTCATCTATCCAACTCAGGATAAGGACATGTATCTTTTTATCTCTCTAAACATGATTATTTTTACTCCTCTTTCACCTGCTTCTTCTTTTCTTTCAGTTCTTTCACTGTCGGGTGTGTTTTAGCCTTCACAGGTAGTCCTCAGCACTTAAAGGAYCAAAGACTGCAGCACTTTATTCCTCTGACTGAAGACTCCTCTCACTTGACCAGACTGTCTGGTTAGCCTCTTTACTCTTCTCCCCTGAAACTCACATTTCCCTCTTTTTTTTAATCTTAGTTTACTAATAACTCCTCCCCAAATCTTCTGGAAAGATTATTTTATTACCCTGTGCTCACATGTCGACTTTTTCATTTCAGCCTTTGACCTCCCAGAAGATGGTGTGATACGGAAAAGTCCTGAGAGAGGTAGGATTTCATCCAAATTTACTGCAAATTATAACAAATACTGTAAATGTAAATTTTACTGTTATTTATAAAACTGACAGGCAGGGGAAAGGTTGATCTGCAGACGTATCTGAAACAGTGGCAAAATGAAATACTGAAGAAAGAAGAAACCATCAAGGACCTACCCAGAATAAACCAGGTAATTCAGCTCAGAGTTCATAAAAACATCACTTTAATTGTGTGAATGTTTAATTCTGCAAACATATGCTCAGTTTCTTTGTGCTAATTTAGGCTTTTTCTGCTAAATTTTAGCTATTTTAGGCTATTTTTTAACTTTTTACTATACTATAGCTTTGGTATAAGTTTTTTGTATGTATCATTTCCCAATCTGTTAATTTTAACTTGTTTCTGTTAGTTTTAGCTTCTTTTTGATAATTTTAACTGCTTTTCTGCTTTCAGTTTTTAAAACTCTTGCTGTCTTTCTACAGATTTTTCATTTTTGTTGTCCTACTTTCATAAAAGTCAGCTGTTCAGATCAGATCACATTAACAGTTCAGCTATTCAGAAAATCTTTCAACATTAAGCCTTTTCACAAGAAATGCAATTTCTCTAGTTCATTTATTTTTCTAGAGTTAAAAAAAAAAAGATGTTATAAATTCTTACGTTTTGTTTCAGTCTCAGTTCATCCAGTTCTCCAAAACCCTCTACAATATTTTCCACGGTGATCCAGAGGAGGAGTCTCTGTACCGAGCCGTCGCCCACGTCACCAGCCTCCTCCTGAAGATGGAGGAGGTGGGACGGAGGCTGCAGGACTCCAGCAGCCCGTCCGAGACCACCAAGCCCGCCAGCACCACTGCCGCCGAGGACTGCTCGACCAGCGAAGAGGCCTCCACGACCCCGGAGAGCTCAGAAGCCTCCAGCTCCCACAGCAGCCAGGAGGCGGCGCCCGACCCCACCCAAACAGAGTGGTCGTTTTCCTTTGAGCAGGTGCTGGCCTCTCTGCTCAACGAGCCCACCATAGTCAGCTTCTTCGAAAGGCCCGTCAACATTCAGAACAAACTAAGACAAACCCGGGTGGCCCAGCTCAAACTCATGGCCAACAAGTGAACAAACAGAGGAGATGCTTGGTTCTGACTCACATCTGCAACTTAAAATAAACTCTTCTCTTGGATTGTTGTGAGGCAGAACGTCTGATCGCTCTGATGTAGCTGCAGAGGAGACGTAATGATGGCTGATAAAACACTGCAAACATTATATAACACTTTACTGACCAACACCTTCTCTGCTTCGATTTTAAATCTTAAAGCCGACCCGTCAGGCTGAGGGTTGATACTAACATCTTGTTATGTATTTGAAATCTTTTCCTACTTAACCTTATTCTGTCATGTAGCCACACTTAGATTTAAGGTGAAATTTAAAGTTAATTTTTTGGATATTTTGAGACGCAGTTCTGTAGAAATGTTAAATGAGTTATAATCTCACCTGTTGTAGGCAGCCGCTGTGAACGACCTCTGTTTGGAGAAACAGTTTAATTCGTGACAAGCTAACAACTGTCTGAACGAGTTGAACACTTTAATGGATTGCTGCTCTCTTAAAACAGCTTCAGGCTAACGTTTTGGAACCGTTTGTGTGCAAGTTTATCTCCAGTTGTAGGTGTGCCATAAACAAAAAATGATTTTAGGATTTAGGGCCTCAGACAATATTTTATAAACCTTGAATCAACCACAAATTCATTAAATTAGTTTTAGCCTCTGATGCTGTGACAGTTTGTTAAAAGTTGCGAGCATCCTTACTGCCATCCTTCTGGAAAACTTGTATCAAAGGAGTGATTTGACCTGTGTTTATATTCTTAATCACAGTAATACTTTCCTTAAACACTGGTCCCAGTTTTCTGAATCCATCTCTATGCCTTTAAAAGAGACATAATGGCTGAATTAATGTGATGTTTCCTGTTCGTGTTGCAGCTTCACTGCCTTCAGCTCAGGTCACACAGCTGAATCAGACCTGCTCACATGTGCTTGTCGTAACCCGTTTGCATCACTAGCTTTATGATATCCTGTGAAGTACCCCAGGCTGCACAGGAAGTGCTACAGCTAGCTGCTGACACTACTATTTTCCCTTTTAAATAATAGTTAGTGAATGAACTAATATGAGACTTTAGATTTAATCAGATTTAAGATGACACAAAACCCACTTCAATCTTGTTGGTCATTCTGAGAGTTATCTACAACAGGTAAGATGTTGTTTAACAACGTCACAGAACTCTGCTCCAAAATGTCTAAATAATCTCTTTTAAAACCTAAAACTGTTGCATCATATAAGACAGGTTTACTCTATAAACCACATGTTCAGTCTGACACTACAGGACTGTTTGATGTAAATTCTCATTCAGTCTATGAAGCTATGCTTGTTTGTCCCGTGACTTCAGTGTCTTACGTTGTGACTTAGTCCTGAAACGTCATTTCAGCGATAAGCAACACCAGCTCAGTTAAATGTAGGACAGGACAGGTGAGTTAAAGGACACATCTCTGAAAGCCATAAAGGGACCGAAGACGTCGCATTTATTCAGAGCAGGAGCTGATGAAGATGCAGTGGAACATTTTGCAATAAGCTGCAGGGAGAGTCTGGCTTCCAGCACATCAGCCGGTCTCGTTTGTCCACCAGCAGGACGCACGGGTCACCTTGAGTCCTGTGAAGCTGGTGTTTGATTGGCTGCCGCGTCCCGCTCAGCGCTGTGAGGTTTTCTTTGCAGGGTTCGGGTTAATGACGTCATAAGTATCTGTTCTGTAGGATGTTGTACGCTTTAGCTTTGTGTTTTAAAAAAAAAGGTTTTGCTTGTGATTTGTGTATTTATGAGGCGTGTATAAATATGATGAGCTAGTGGACTGTTGTGGAAAAGTTCAACCTTTTAAAAACATTTTGTTTCATCGAATCTCAGGGTGACATTTCTGTAAACTGAAAGTGGAAAAAAGGGATATTTTTCAGCCTGAGACAATTATATGACAGAAATATATAAACCTGACATCATCTGTAAAGTTAAACACTCTGTAAAGAGCATGTGTACCTTAGAGACGTGCTTTTGCTGCTTGCCACAGAGAGAGTTTATTTATTTTTTCTGTTTTCCTGTCTTACTGCTTCTGTCTCAGTGAGTCKTTTGCACAGTTGTTGGAGGTTGGCGAGTTGTAGACGCGCCTGTATCTCAGCCCAGATCTGAGAGGTGAGGGGATCCAAAAGGTCACGACCGTTCCAGCTGCAGCTCGGCGTCTCTGGGGGCCAAATGAATAAATTGAAAAAGCTTTACGGCGTCTCTGCTCGTCCCGAGGAGTTAGTGTTTTATGTGCCTCTAAAGTCCAGCTTTGATTCCCTGCTTTTATCGTTTACTTTTTATTTTGTGATTGAAGGACCAGCTCGAGTTTATTTTTATTTGTTATTTTGACCTTTATTCTTCTTCTCATTCAGTATTTTTTATCTTTTGTGTAAGAAATAAAAACACTTCAAAAGTTTGACGTTTAGCCCTTCAAGTCCAAAGTTTATTAATAACTAATTTATGACTTGAACAGTTCTGCTGCATGAGTTTTAATTGAGTTTAATATCATTGTGTTTGATTGTAACTACAATGATGTTAACTCAGCTAAAACAACATCTGATCGTGTTTGACTCATGGCTGTTTTCCTGCAGCTTCTCTTGATTTTTCAGATCGTATTAAAATGCAACTATTACAGAATTATGCATGGATTATAAGTTGTTGCATGCTGCAGTCAGGTGTGTCTGAAAAAATCTTTTTTTTTTTTTGGTCTTTGTTTAGGAAAAATGACAATGATGATCCAGAATAAACAAAACTTTGATGCAAAACATTTCATTCGTAACTTTTGTAAAAGTTAGTTTTTCCTCTTCGTATGAATAAAAAGGACAAAAGATGGAATGTCAGTTTGTATCTTTTGGTTGAAAACTTGTTCTGTAAAACATTGTCGCTCTGATGTTTCTGTTTGCTTCATTATTAATGTTTTTTTTTATTTGTTTGCATCAGAATAAAGGGAAGTGATTTAATGATTATGTTGTAAGTTACATTTTTTATGCAGAAGTTTGTTGATGTGAGATTTTTTTTTTCACAAACCAGCATTTTAATGAATAATCTTCGTGTCAGCTGTTGTGACCTTGGGCAAGACACTTCACCCATCTTGTCTGCTGGTGGTGGCCAGGGCAAAAATACTTTTCTGGTTATACAAACTTCTTCTGTCAGGTCATTCTCACACAAAAGATTCACTGAAGGATTGATGAATGAAAAACAGAATTGAGATGAGTTTCATGTTTTTACCACCAGAGGGAGACAAAGTCTCTGCTCCACTACAGGAGCACACCTCTACTGTAAACTGATGTAGATCAGTTTTAGAGTTTTTGGAGCATCTTTATGTCCAATAATTACTTCACACATGTATTCTAGACTTTGAAAATAGGAACAAAATGATTTAAAAAGGTTTTTTAATATATTGACTCAGATGAAATATCTGTACATTGAAATGCTGTTTGCAAAATTTTTAATTTTCATTTTCAAAAATTCTGTGTATTTGGCACTGACTGTCTCATTTAAAATTATTTTAACTGTTTAATTAATTTTACAAATAGGTTACATAAACTGTCATAATATAACACTGCTTCAAACTAAGGTATTTGATTTTAAAATACATTTAAAATATGGCAAAACATTTAACTGTTTACTGAACTGTTTTTGTAGGAGCAAACATTCCTTATTAAAACTCATAAAATACCAATGATTATTTAAAAAAACAATTGTGCCTACAATACTATAATACAGACAAAGTCAAACAGCAATGTATAGAATATTAAAAACAATGATTTTCTTTTTTATGTAAAAACTTTTAATAAACAAAGTTGACAATTGAAGTAACAGAGTTGACAGGACAATAACAATTTCTTAGAAAAAAACATTAATTAGTTAATTCAGGTAAGAAAAACTGAGATTTAAGTTTAATTTTTTTAACCCTCTAGAAGTCTGGTTTGACTTTGAGACCTCTGAAATTTGCACTTGTTTTTTTTTTCCTGTGCTACACTTCTAGCCCTACTTGCAGCCTGTGCTCTTCYCCAGTATCTTTGCTTTCTYCTCTCTTGATGTTAGGTCTGCCACCARTCTGAAGGACTGTCACACTAGACAACTTATGCCAACTTATGAACATTTTGAAGACATCTACATTAAAGACGGAATTGAAAAAATAAACAGGAAGCTTCTTTTCGGTGTTTGCATAATGTATTTTGAACAAATATGTCAAATATATAACTTTTATTAGCAATTCAGACATAAAAAGTGTTTCATAAGTTGGCACAAGTTGTCTAGTGTGAAGGGCCTTCTTTGTTGCGTTTCCATCTTTCCCTGTCCTTTGCTAAATTCTGCTCTCTTCTGTCTGTATTGGCATCTCGTAGCTCGATTTTTGTTTCTCAGCAGCTGAGAGCAGCATATCTACAGTAAAAATGTAGGTTATATTAAACACAGTATTGTAATTTAGTCAGTAATTACTTTAAAATGTATTTAATTACTTCATTCATGCATACATTTATTAAATTGTTCTCATTAACGTAAATTACTACTCAATAGTTACATGATGTCATCTCTGTTACTTTACCAAAGATTTCTGTTAAAARCTCCACTTGCAAGCATAAATGCTAAAAGCACATGTCACCAACAAAATCATGGTTTAAAAAACTTTAGATAAAACATCTATACGTTAAAAATCAATAGTGTTTTTTAAGATATTATAGCAACAAGATTGACTTCTAAAAATTACTCTTGGTTTTAATGCTTTTCAAATTGAACTAATTTCTCAGAGGGCAAAAATACCTCTGTGTTAGAGATCCTATCACTAAAAGGAAGTGACTTCATTTCATTTCATTTATATAGCTGTGGAGAGTAATTCCACAAATTTAAAGGGAAAGAACCATAAGGTAACAGAGTTGACAAAATATTCTCGGACACATATTTTTAAATGAAAAAAAATGTGTTTTTTATTTATTTACTGCAATATTATTGCATAAGTACCTATTTAGGCAAGTTAGAAAAAGATGTTTATCCATCATTTTTTAAGATGGGAAAAATAGTGACAACTCAGACAACAAGAAGTTATGTTAAACACATTTAAATGTAATTATATCAATGTTATGAATTGTGATATATTATGATCCATACAAATAATCAATAAATTATAAAATAAAATAAAAAAATTCTAATGAAGTAGGCCAAAAATATTGATCCTGGACACCAAATGTATCTCCAATTATAGAATCACCCACATATATTTAAAAACATCCATCATCTATAACTCACGTTTTCCTGTCAGGGTCACTGATGCCCATATTCAGCAGTCCCAGTGGGAGGGGCATCCATTACAGTAACATTTAAATTAAGTGCTAAAATATATCATTTATTGGAACTAACTGGAAAAAGGTTTCACTGCTAACACAGCAGCTGTGTCGATGTATTGGTTGTTTATTTATTTGTGCTATTTTCTTCATATCGTGCAGCCAGCTCAGCCCTTGGCAGCAAGTAATAAAAACGTAAAAGTTTATTTAACAGGTTCTAAACATAAAGAGATCAAATGAAAATATAAAAAAGCAAACACTGATATCTTTTATTTAACGCCCCAATCACTATTTTTATTTTGATTGTTTTATTTATTTTCATATTTTTTTTTTACATTTTATTAAAACAATTTATAACTAACCCATTACGGTCCACGATTTCAAACACCCCCAAAAATTCCAACARTCTAAATTAATTTCTTACATCTAACCCCTCAGACAGAGTATTTTCTGTGGTTGTATTTTGATGCCCTCAATGACATTTCTTTTAACTCATAAAGCTCTTGTTTAGCCAGGTTTTTCTCGTTCGTCTTTCTGTATCTTTGATACATGTAATGTTTGCATTTTGTTTTAAATAGATAAATCATTTCTATCAGGTTGAGCAGCAGGGACACACAGGCCACTACGAGCATAAATATGATGAAGAGAGTCTTCTCTGTGGGTCTGGAGACRTAGCAGAACACGGTGGTGAGGCAGGGCCAGTGGTTACAGGTGTACATGGCTTTGAGTCCGAACCCATACAGGTAATACTGGGCTACAATAAATCCCACTTCAAAGAGAGTCTTAAAAATAATATTGAAGACATATGTGTAGAACAGTTTGCCTTCTAAGTACATTTTGTCCTGTTGTTTTTTTGCTGAAGTCGTTTTGTCGTCAGATATGGGTGGGTCCATTTCTAGTTTCTTTTTTGTTTTCTTTTTTTTCCTTTTACCCTCTTTGTTCATTCGGACCTCATGAATGGCGTGACCCAGATAAATCAGAGTGGGCGTAGAGACAATGATGATCTGCATCACCCAGAAACGAATGTGAGAAATGGGGAAGGTCTTGTCGTAGCAGACAGTCTCACAGCCGGGTTGTTTTGTGTCGCAGGAGAAGTTGGACTGCTCGTCGCTCCACACTTTCTCTGCAGCTGCCACCAGGACCAAGATGCGGAAAATAAAAAGGACCGAGAGCYAGACTTTGCCCACTTTACTGGAGTATTTCAGGGCCTGTTCCAGTTTCTTTGATAACTCATCATAGTTTGCCATGGTGCTCACCTCCTCAGCTTAATGAAACCAGGAGAGAAACCTGGAAGGAAAAAACAAAACTGTTTTTAGTTTAGAAATATAACCTGCTGMTCATAGTAAAACACACTTTTATTTTTCCTGTTAATCACTGCAGATGTTACCAGAATACAGTACATTTGTTACCTAATTTTAAAAACTAAACGTCTGTCGCTGTTAAATGGTCAACGTTTTAGAATTATTTTTGTCAAAATAATGCCAAATTAATTTATTAAATTATTAATTAATTTATTCTTATAAAAATAAACTACAAAAGGAATCATTTAACTTTATTTATTATCTAAATAGTTTGTCAATTAATGTGATTTTATTAGTGAAACTATATCTTATATAATCCACTCAAACAATATTCGAAAACCCATTTTAAAACTTTCATTCCTAATTTTGTACCTAATGCATAGCAAATACATAAAAAAGAAAAAGACAAGAAAGACTGCTGGTCTGTAGCATTTTTAGAGAAAAAAAATAAACTTTTCTTTTGTTGTACATTCCTTAAGGTGTGTTTCACACTCAGCAGTTCATAACTTAGAGCACAAACTGCCATTATGTGTAATTATGCAGGAAATGGTTGCAAAAAAACAAAAAAGGACACGCACAAAAAAAAAAACCTTGCCGAAACAAAAGACTTGGAACAATAAAAAGAAGAAATTGCAATGAGGAAAAGTGCAAAGTCATCCTTTACTCATTTTTTTTCCAGGACTTTCTTGTAGTCTTCCAATGTGCATGATTGCTTCTTCACTAAGTTTCTGTCCAGTGATCATTTTTAGAGGAATATCATTCTAGTTTATTTGGGGGGTGTGGGGACATGCCCCACCTCCCTCTTTGAATTTTGACATCAGGAATAAAGACTCATTTGTTTCAGGCTTTAACACACTGTATTGATATTTTAGACAATACTGCACCTATAAAACAGAGCACTGTGCAATACGCAAGCTGTCATTAGATTAATAAGAAGTTTACCACAAGGCTGAACATCAGAGAAAAGCACTAAACTAGAGGTTCACAGGCTCTGATCAGCTCCTTAAATAAAATTAAGAATGCCAGAAACATTTTTTTTACAAATCTCTCAAATCAAATCTAAAATCCTGTTCAACACAATCAAAAACGTTTCCTTCTCCGAGTGCTTTCACAAACACAGACTGCAATCAGTTTTTAAATTAGTTCACCATCCCACTGTCTGGTCCCAAAGTGCCTTGAGAAGGTTGAAGCAGAACAACTGACATTATGGTTGCACTCCACAAAAACAGCAGTATTTAAAGTTTCAAGTGACTTGTTTACTTCAGCCTTCGACATTGTGGATCTCACTGCTGTTATCGACCAACTGAGAGATTTGTTTGGTATTTCTGGCTCTGCATTAAACTGGTTCACTTCTTGTTTACCTGAAAGGTCTTTTATTTTTTTATGAATCAGGTTTCTTCTGACTCAGCACCAATGTACTATGGGGTACCCCAAGGCTTTGTATTGGGCCCAATCCTCTTTTTATTGTATTTTTACCCTTTAGAAGATATTTTAAAACATTACAGTAATGTGTCATATCAGCTGTATGCTGATGACTTATTATTATATTGTTCCTTTTGAACCTCAGCGATCTACAAACTGTCTGAACTCGGTAACTGTCTGTCAGAAATCAAAGTTAGGTTGAACAACATTTATAAATGCAAACAAAAATCTTTGTTTTTGAGTAAAATATAAAGATATAAAACATTTGCTCAACTGAACAAGTACAAAAATAGTACACTAAACAAAAAGTAAAGTGTTTTATAAAATAAAAAGAACATTTAAAGAAAAAAAAGCAACTTTAGATAAAAGTTCCTACCTGTTTTCTTTCATAATGTGCGTTTGGAAGTCACTGAGGATGAAGAAACAAAAATTCAGTCCCATTTTCTAGCATACATTGCATCACTTGGGTTATATGTGTTCYTCCCTCTTACTCAGAGTTCAGAAGCTGTTTATCTGGTTTGACTGTCTGCACAGGTTGTAAATGGTACAAATGATCTTTTTTTGAAGGAAAAGAGGTTCAAACGTGGACCTCCTCTTCATTTATAAACCAGTGGTTCTCAAATGTTTTCTGTCGAGCCTGCCCGTTGGAGAAAGACATTTTTTTCGTGACTCCTGAAACCCACAGGCCCCAGAACAAAGTAGTAACAAGTCAATTTAAAAACAAAAATTAAAACACAAATAAAGTATTTTTTCAAAGGTTGCCTCACATTATTGTGTTTTGGATTGAGAGAGGAAGTTATTTACTCATAGATAATTAGGTAAGTGTAATTAAACCACAAACTGACCACAAATTACAGATGGATTACATCATTTATTTAGGTGTCATTGGATTAAACATACTGTGAAAAGAATGAACTGAGATGAGAAATACTAACTTGTATACTTGCTGACTGAAATGTTTAGATGTAAGTTTGATAATAAGACCAGGTAACACTCAGATGCTAAAAACTATGACAGAAATACTTAAGAACTTTTTCTAAGAGGGTATGCATGACTGTTCATTCATTTCAAATATGTAATAAAAAAATCAAACCAGAACTTATTTTCTCTAAAATGTCATGATGAGTCTTATTCAAGAAATGCTCAGAAGGTTATTGAGGAAAAACTCCAAGGTGAAACCAACACTTCAACATGAAGCTGCTGAACAACATTCTTTGTATGTCCCAGCACCTGTTAACGTACAGTTCGAAGTATTTTCCTCGTGCCTGACTTCTAGTAAATTCTGATTACTTATTCTCACCTCTACCTTGGGCAAGACACTTCACCTGCCTTGCCTGCTGGTAGTGGGCAGAGGGTCTGGTGGTCCCAGCGGCAGCCTGTCGATCTGTCAGTGTGCTTCAGGGCAGATGTGGCTACAGTGTAGCTTAGCATCAGTGTACTGCAGCTGTGGCTACATGTAGCTTAGCATCAGTGTGTGAATGAGTGAGGGGATATCTGCAGTGTGAAGTGCTTTGGGGTCCTCGGACTTGATAAAGCGCTGTATTGTCAAGCAAAGGGCTAGGTTTATTTTAAAACTTAAAACCCTTAAAAAACGTACTTGACTATACTTAGATCTGTTAATAAGGAGCAGGGGCCATTCTGTGACACTCCTGCTGCTCTCAGCTTGAGTGACAACACAACAGAGCAGTGGAGTTTTTTTCCCACGCCTCTCTTTGGCTCTCAAATGTCTGAATGAAAATAGATTTCTCAATCTATGTAAAAAGTCTACTGTATATTTAATTTAATAATAAAGCAGCTCTTAATTAAAGAAACATACAAACTGTATTATTACATGCATTTTCACACAATGATATTTATTATGGATTATAAGCCTTTTGAGTTATTTTGTATTTAAAGTGAATTAATAGACACTAAAACAATGAAAAATAATTACTAAACCATTTAGTTTAGTTGATTAAATGTTGGGTTCTGTTTCTTATAAAAGGTCAAATCCTCCTGTTTGTTTAAAAGTTGCTGCAAACATTATGTAGCTGTTGTACAATTTACAATTTATTTTAACAAAGTCAAAATAATGATGTGTTCCTGGGTTGAGTTCAGACTGCAGCAAAGATTTTCAGCTGAATGGTACAACACCGCTACCTGCTGACAGAAGCTGTAAACTGCATCATATTTTTTCATAATAATGTGGGAATATTGTAGTAAATGAGAAGTTCAGAGATCTAATGGAGCACATGTCAGATAACAGTGGGGGAGTTAGAAGATATTTTAGATGTAAACAGTTTATTTATATTTCTAAAAAAAACTTCTTTACAATGTCAAAGCTCCTTATAAAACACATGTTTATGTAACAAATGATCCAGGTAAAAATGTTAAAATAAATGATATAAGAAAAAATGAGAACATTAAACACATTCACAACCTTGTATTTCTATCCTTATTGGGACTGTTCATTTACTGCCATTCATTTCCAGTCATTACTGTAGCCTTACACTGACCCTAATCCTTAGCACCCCAGTACACACCAAACTTTAAACCTAGTAAATTATTAAATACCACACACTGGTTTTGCCACACTGTAAAATAATATTATATATTTGACTTTTTCTAGGTTTCTGTTAGACAAACCTCATGAGAAGTTTAAAATATCGGTTTACAATGAACATTTTATAGTCGACTGGTAAATAATTATAAACATATTTTGTTACCAGATTAAGTCATATTTTTCACCAAAAAAAGTCCAAGTTACCGACTGACTTCAAGTCATTTAGATCAGTGTTACTTTAAAATTATTTATGTTTCTGATATATACAGTATATCTTTTTTTATGTGATTGTTGAATGAAATTAACGTAATTAATTTATTGTAAAACATTACTAAAAAATTACTGACAGATTCAGCCTTGTTTTTAACCGAATAACTGTGGCAGCTGAGAACCGAGCCCCTGGCACTGTGCCACACTGTGGCACTGTTCAGGCCTCTGCCTTACAGTTTTTATTGATTGTTTTGACGCAGCCGTCAACTCAAAATCCACATTTTCAAAACGGTTAACGCAGAGGACTAAACAGTGCCACAGTGGTCAAAATGACACATTTTGTTAACAAAAGGCACTAACAGTGCCAAAACATTTAAAATATGGAAAAAAGCAAATTTTGCCTTTGAACAATTTAACTTTGACAAAATGTATGAGCACCTCCAAACAATCAGTACACAATGGGCAACAAAATACAAAATACAGCACTCATGTGAATCAGTGCACCATTGCTTGTCATTGTAGCCTATGACTGTATGTAGCTTACATGCAAGTGCTGTTTGTAGTCAAATTTGCCCTCTTGCAAAAAATGCATCCAGAAGCAGATTTGGTTTGATGCAAATTTTATTGATTATATATATATTTTCAGACTGTGCAGGACAAATGAAATATTCCAATGGAGAATACATGGAAATAAAAATAAAATCCTTTACTGTGTGAGAAATTAGATAAATAAAAAACACAGTCTTTTACTGTAAAGAACAAAAATCTATAGTAGGTCTATAATATAAGAGTATGAGAAAACAACACAGTCCTGCAGACTGATTGYAAATTGAAAAAATTCTGTGAAAAGTGTCAAACAGCTTTCAGTGATTTCATACTGATCAGGGAGTTTCTAAGAGCTTGGAGCAGATGGTTTCTGTTCTGTAACCACAGCTAAAATAGAGTTTGGACTTCTTGAATRAYATCTGTGTTAACTGTTTTGCAAAACGTTGGAAAACTGTGTCAATCCTATGAGAATGGGTTTAACACATTTGCAAGAGGTGTCTTCTGCTCTGCTGAGATGGTGATGRTGGAGAGGTTCCCAGTTTCTTCAAACAGGTCAAACCAATCAATAAAAACTGTAATTTAAAAACAAAAAAATTAAACACAAATAAAGCATTTATTTTCAAGGGTGGCTTGGGCTTGAATACACCCTGACAGTTTTTTTGAAATGAGAGGAAATTAATTACTTAAGCAGTAATTTACAGATAATTTGTAATTTAATCTGTAAGATAATTGTCATTAGCTTAAGTTGGTGTATAATCAAGATACTACAATTTAAATGTCACTCACTGACTTAATTATCTACAGATCACTGTAGATTTGCATTATTTTCTTTGGTGTCATTGGATTAAACCTAACGTGAAAAGACAGAACTGAGATGGGTGATAATAACTCAAGAGTATAAACTCACTGATTTTATTGTTCAAATGTAAGTTTAATAAGACCAGGTAACACTCAGATGCTAAAAATTGTAATAGAAATGCTTCAGTTCAAATATGTAAATATTGCCTGGCAAAAACAAAACAAAACAATCTGGAACACATTTTCTCTGAATGTAATGACGAGTCTTATTCGGGTGCTGTGGTAGGAGGGTAATTTGGGTCAAATTTTGAAGCTTACAAGATTAACTAATTTACACAATCCGGTCTTGCTTAATATATCAGCCTCAAAACAAGATCAAAAATACATTTTTGTCTGGATAAAAGATTGTACAACTTGTCTTGATGGGGTGATGCTGAAAGAGCTGTTTCTCTAAAAAGAGCAGCCCTGGCTCCATGGAACGGTACTGGTTGACCTGTTCTGAAAGAGGTGCTTTTACAATACTGGTCTCCTTTCATTGAGATATTCAACTAGATCTGAGTCTGTCCTCTTCCTTGAGAAYAATTTGTCATGGGAGATTTTACCAAATAACAGGATCCTGTAACATGAAAACACTCCTAATATATATATTATTAATATCTGTACAAGACAACAACAGTCTAATGTTTTTTAAGGGTTTCTGTTTAAGTTCTGTATATTTTCTGTATAATTTGATTTGCTCTTACATACTATAAAACAAGCCTGTAATGTGAAAATTAAACTTCCATTCTGACATAGTTCCAATGCTTGATCTGACCTTGTTGACTCGTCTAAAAGTGTTTTCTCTCCTGCCCGATGAGCGAGAGGCAGCGAGGTAATGAATGGTGTCCGTGTTTCACTTGGACACTATTTTGGCTCCGAGGYTTGGTTGCATCCAGTTGTAACCGAGAGGTCTTGACCTTAACCTCCGTCACCTGTTGAGCTTTCAGCCCTGCCGTCTCAGGAGATGTTAGACCAAGTTCTTATTTTAGTCCATAACAATAACGAATGAAGTCCAGCAGCTTATTGACAAAAGTCTCAGAGAGGAATTGTTTTAACTGAGACAACGGCAAAATGATGAGCATGAGGAAAGCATACTAAAGCATTTATGTAATGTATTAAAAATGATAATGACATAGTAGATTTAGCTTAAGTAAACTATAAACGGGTCAATACTTGCTCCATTTTTTAATCAGTTTGCTTTTTATAAGACAGCATATGTACCAAAATCACTACTACTTGGAGCCAGTTTGTTTTTGATGCAGGAGAAAATACTTGTGGTCGTCTCTCCCCTCGGCGGTACTCCCTGAAGTGGGGATAAAGGCTAAATATAGCCAGCAGACTGGAAACCTTCTGCAACCCGGCTCTAGCATCTCAGTGTTTGATGTTTGGAAACAGGTTCAACCCAACCCATCTGTGTTTGTCAGACTGGGGGATAAAAATACCAAAACAGAACTGATAATCTGGGAAGACTGTATATAGATTAACAGCTGAAAAAATGATCACATAGCTAATATAGTGTAAATATTAAGTGCTGACTCCCTAGTTTAGATTTTATTTAAGTTGATTCATTCGATTAAAGCTCCGACTAATCTTGTCTTACAGGATYTCTTTTTATTAAATTGATATAAAAGTGTCCATTCAACACATAAAAGCTTCTTTTTCTGAACAATAATCATGCAACTGGGTGAGAAATATACAGTAATAGAAGTAAATTTATTTTATAAAAGCTGTTATCTATAAAAAAAAAATGAAATTTTTCAACTTATCATGCCACTAGATCTGTTAGTGAACTATTTTCTTGGCAAAAAATCTACAATCTGATTACAGATGTGTGATAAATAAAGACACTGTGAGGAAGGTTTGTATCTCTTAAGTTTAATATAAATTAAAAAAATTCTGAGAGTGACACAATTATTTCAGTTTCAAAGGTTTTTAAATAAACTCATCAGACATTCAGCTGGAAGTCTTTTTTGTTATGTTGGCATCAACACAAATGTAAAAAGGAGTCTGAAATCTACAACATGTAAACAAATGTTAATAAAAATGATCAATAATTAAGTTACTGATTAAATAAATGAGCAAAAGCTTTTAATAATTGTAATCACCAGTATAGTCATAGCAAAGTATTTATTTAGTGATTTTTCATATGAAAAATTGTCATGTAAACATCTTTTCAAGCATATTCATGATTTTAACATTCATACATAACTGCATGACTTTTTTTTAACTAAGCAGATGTAATAATAATATAAAGCTTACAAATTTTAAACAATAAATTTCAAATTTTAGTTTTAGCCTTAAAATTCATTAAATGAAAGCTGCTGTAAACCAGGACTTTTGTTTTAAAATGCTTTATGTCAACAGGAGCAGCTCTGGAGCAGCAATATTTCTGACATGTATGAAAACCCTGCAGGCTTTTTTTCATATATTCAAGTTGCATTATAACATAAAATATTTTGCAATGAAAGAAAATAAGACAAAACGTGAAAAAAATTAGTACAATAAAAAGAAATGAGGTGTACAGCTTTATGATTAGAGATATTTACCACTTGTAAAGTCATGAATATCGGAGCCGAATCTTGTGATTCTGTTTCTTTCTGGCTTTGTCCTACATTCGGTGAAAAGAGCTGTTTTGTGTTCATGCAGGTTTTTTTTTTTTTTGCATCATGTAATTTTTTTACAAGCCTCACACAGAAGATAAGATAAGGGGAAAACCAGAAACCAGATGCATGTGAGCAGTTTATTTACCTCAGCATTGATTCTGTGAAATTATCTCTGATGGGGAAAATTAAAAACAATTAGCCTTTCAGACTAAAGTAACAAATCATTTTATATTGCTCACTTATTTAGTGCGTAAGGTCAAAAATGAGCCAAGACATGTAGACATTTTTCTACAAAAGCATCTATGGTCTGTTTGCAATATTCCAAATTACGAGACAAATATWTTTTTTAGCAATATTAGATTGTTATAAGCAACCATCAGTAACAGAAAGAATATTAATATGATACATTTCACAACACTGTAATTTTTTTGCACGTTTCACAGCTTTTTCTAAATTTAAACACCTGTAAACATAAGTGACAAAAAAATAACAACAAAAAAAAGTTGTTTGAAATGAAAGAAAAAGTAGATCATTAATGGCAAAAACACAAAGCAATTTTAAGACTGTTTAAATAATCCAAAAATTATAACCTGAGTGAATGCTGCTGATAATACAATGATCTTCAAATACAGAGAGTACCAATATGTCAAATCTAACACTTTACAGTAAACATAAGCAGGCTGTGTGGAGCCTCAACAAAGCAGGTTAAATACACGGGATTCAGCATTTATTTAAGATGTCTAAGATTTCACTATATGGTGCTGCAGCACAAGTTATCAAGTAAGTTAAATACATCTTTAAAAAGTATTTTCAGTACACATTATCACTACTTCAAACTTATTTCTATTAAGAATAAATAAAGAAGAAATGGCCCAACTGACCACACCTTGGTGTGTGAGCTAACAAAGGCCAAAAGCTTTTGGTTAACTTTTGCACATTTTGGTGTCCTGATATCAATAATGGTATCAGTACCGGAATCAAAACCAGCCTTTTTAAACTAAATGTCCAGATACTCTGGGCCGACACCAATAATGCACTGCAAAAACTGTCTGTCTTGCCAAGTTCTAAAATCTTATATCAGCCAAAAAGTCTTTTTGATCTTGTTTTGAGACTGATTTACTAAACAAGAACTGATTGTGTAAGAATAATAATCTTATTTTCAGAATGTGTAAGATTATTTGTCTTGTTAGCCTGAAAATTTGACTCAAATTAAGTCAAAAATTTCTGCCAATGGATTAAGAAAATTTTACTTGGTAAGACTCTTGAAATAAGAAAAAAAATTGAGTCAAATCAAGTATTTCAAGTATTTAAACTCCTTTGAATGTGTTACAGTTTACATTTCGCAATAAAAGTTTGTCATTTCCATGTTTGAAAAAACAAATCTTATTTGTTATTTTTATTTATTTTAAAATGTTTCAACGTTATATATCCTGCTGAATGTTTGATTTGATCCAGTCAGAGGGGCTGTATGTCTATAAGGAAGGAGAATCACCTTGTTAAAAATAAAAGCAATGTGTTTTAAAGTCATTGTGTAATATAATATGTGAGTCAGTAAGTACTCTGTATCAGTGAGTACTCGTACGTGTACTTGGTTCAATGAAAAACTAGTATCAGGACACCCCTAATTTAGAGTGTCTATTAATGTGCACTGTTCCTCTCAGCGTAGCTCAGCTTGAATTACCTCAACTTCTTTTAACTGAACTCTGTCAACTAAAGTCATGTTAAGTAATCTCAACCCAAGTCAGTCAACTCACTAAACTCAATCAATTCAAGTCAAAAGTCAAGTAAACCCAACACAAATCAATTAAATTAAATCAGCTCAACAAAACTTTATCAACTCAGGTCAGTTTTGTAAACTAAACTAACCTGAGTGAACACAACTCAACTAAACTCAGTGATCTCAAGTCAACTAATTTTAACTTGAGTAAACTCAGCTTAACTCAAGTCAGCACAACGGACCTGGGAGTTCTACACCCACTGTTTGTCTCTAAGCTTTTAGAGATAATTTGATGCCTTAAAAGTAAACATCTTTACATTCTATAGTGGTTTTTCCTGGAGTTCCTGAGTCTTTGATTTAAAAATGGAAAGTTTTTAGATCTTCAGGTCATCCAGCCTGCCCTTGTTTATGCTGTGCTTACTCGATTGACTGTTTTTGCGCTGATTTTCCACAGGGGTCTCAGAGACAGGACTGGATATTTTCGCCTTGTCCACGTCATCTCCCTCTCCCCTGCCTTTGTGCTCCACAGCCATGTTGTCTCTGTTTTGTTTGTAAACTGCCTTGCTGTTGTAGGGGCTGTACGCCGAGCTCGGGTCCGTTAGGACGTACTTTGAGTCGGCGGGGAMGGGTTCAGACATCCCATTGGGACCTGTTACGTAGGTGTAGTTCGGAGCAAAGGGCATGACTCCCTCGTTTAGGGACTTGGAAGCTTTAAGTGCAGCTTTTGATCGCCTATAGCGAAGACCCTGGTGGCATTTTGTGAAACCTAGATGGTACATTTCTATCAGGTTGAGGAGCAGGGACACACAAGCCACTGCTAGCATGAAAAGGATGAAGATGGTCTTCTCCGTGGGCCGGGAGACGTAACAGTTCACTGTGTTAGGACAAGGCCAGTGGCTGCAGGTGTACATCGGCTTGAGCTGAAACCCATACAGAAGGTACTGAGCTACAATAAATCCCACTTCAAAAAGAGTCTTGAATATGATATTGAAAACATAGGTTCTAAGAAGTGCACCCTGCAGACGCACATGACCCTGGGTGTCTTTTATTGAGGGCTTTTTGGTCTTATTGCTCAGTAACTGCTGCTGGTTGTTTTCATTCATACTGGCAAGTTCCTTCAGTTTCTCCTTCTGTTTTTCCTCCATGCGAACAAGATGGAGGATGTGACCCAGATAGATCAGAGTGGGCACAGAGATGAAAATGATCTGGATCACCCAGAAGCGGATGTGAGAAATGGGGAAGGTCTTGTCGTAGCAGACGTTTTGACAACCGGGCTGTTTGGTGTCGCACGTGAAGCTGGACTGTTCATCGCCCCACACCTTCTCTGCAGCTGCTCCCAGCACCAAGATGCGGAAGATAAATAGGACCGTGAGCCAGACTTTGCCCACAACAGTGGAGTGTTCCTGGGCGCTCTCCAGCAGCTTCCCTAAAAGGTTCCAGTCGGCCATGGTGGCTCACAAGTAGACCCTCGGCTCAATCACCAAAATCTATGAAGAAATGAGGAAATGTATTAACTTCCAGAAAACAAACACTCAATGAACAGCAGCCTGGACTTGATACACTGCCAGACCAAAAAAAGTTTTGTCCATTGGGAGGCTCTGTAGTTCAAACCAGGTGGTGATTATTCTTTTTGGTCAGACAATGTATAATCAAGTCAAAGTGGAAAAAGTAAAAAAGATCTCAATTACAGCTCAATGCTGGCTTAATATACATACATACATACATATATAT